TGGTAGAACACAGACAAGCTGGGAAATAACTGAATACATCCGCTAACACTCATCTTGCCAAGAATCATCCATCACGGCTTCCACGACGCTTTAAAAGTTCCTTGGAGATTTGGTAATCACCAGGCTATCAAAACGCTTCCAAAAATATGAGGTAGCCCAACGTAAATGGTCTTTGCCCCAAATGTGGTTACTAAAGGAAACGTTCCATCTACATGCACTATCAGTAAAGAGTTTAATGAATCAAATTTAACATTATTGGCCTCTGAGAGATAGTGCTACTAACGAAATTTTATTTTCTCTCAGTATTTGATACTATGGGGGTTGATGTGACACTGGGGTTGCAGTTTATAGTAAGGTTACATGTTTAAATAGTAGGTAATTTGGACACTTTAAAAATCGGCATCACATTATTAATATTTGTAAAATCAACTGGGTTCCTTTTTTATTCCAAGGCTGGCCATAAACGTAAATAGTGGTGGGGCGGATAAGAAAACCGTTCTCCGTAGTGCGTTTTTGCATTTTTGACAACAGTTAATTTGATCCAAGAAGTGACAAAAAGCTATGATACACAATAAGAACTATCAAAGTAGGATTATTTACAGATAGTCCTATGTTTTAATTTATACATAATCTTATGGTGTTAGACAAATATTCAATATTTTTGTTAGGTGTAGTAGTAGAACGTTATAGCTATGGTAGGTATGTTATACTATAGCGTACCGTAAATTAAAATAAACAAAATTTTCTCAAACCGTATCCTCTCCCATTGCAAACGCATAGCACGAGTATACCTGCAATAAGCATTTTATACTTCAACACCAATCCCGTACGAAGGACGGGTATTCTGCTAGTTATTTTAAATGTGAATACTCATAAGGTTAACATGGGGAACTACAGAGCCACTGGGGTGGAGCTCGAAAGGATATTTGAGATAAGAAAAAGCCTATAAGTTAATCAGGAATGTGAGCTATCATCATTTAATTTAGTTAACTCGGAGCTAAGCAGTAAGCAGACATATGTTGCGCCTTCAGTAGGCAATACACACACTACTTGCTTGTATCTATATTGACTAGTCACGCCGTTGTATTTTCTATTACAAGGAAATGCAGATTATCTTTACATCCATTTAGGCTGATTAGGAGACATACAGTTGCACATACAGGTCTGCTCTATACGGTTGCAATAAGGTGATTTCTGAAATAATTTATTTGCCAACTATCAATCCTATATATTAGTTGGTAAGCATGTTTCTTAAAATAACTTTTTTCTAACCTCGTGTGCATCACAGGTAAAATCTACGCATACTGTTAGAGAAATATTTTCCTTTAGATGTGCAGAATCCTTTATAAATTAAAATAGGCTAAAAATAAGCACAACATATTCCAAATTTTAAAAAAGATTAACATTGGCATGGATCGCCATGCTGATGAGGAAATAACAACAATATGTAAAGAGAAAATAAAAAATGGAAAATATTTCAATCACATGTTTTATTTACAGCGTGGGTAAAAATAGAGAAGTTTGTACAATACCATTTTTGGTCGAGTTTTCGACCATGGGGCGACCCTTAGTATAGATTAAAATACAAGTATATCAAAAGTAAACTGTTGTAGTTTGCTTGTTTATGGATGTGATTTGATAAACTTGGCATATTTATTTATTTTATACTAAGCTTTTAATATTTTACCAATCTTCCCTGTAGCGGCAAACCTAGGCACTTGTTAAACCTAATTATTTTTTTTAAAAAGAACTATATTGAAAATCCAATAAGGCAAATGGAAATTCGCTTAGTCTGCAGGTTTGATGTGGCAGGTTTTTTTTAAAATCTGTATTGTCTTCAAAATAACATTTTGTTCCTATACCAAATGTCAGTCATTCCTTTGCAATCATCCAGTACATGCACATTCTAAGGTTTAGGGGCATATTCGTGTGGTTTAAAATATACTGTTCTCCATTTGTGAATTCAAGTCAAATAACTCTCCCCTAGCATAAAACGATCGCAAAATCTACAACACTTTGGGAATCCGACCCAACCCAAACACATTGTTGATTGGTTGATTGCTGTTTTTGCTTTCATTACAACAAACAGTTTAAGTGGACAGACTGTTAATGTTGACTCGTCATCATTAGCAGACACTTCCGGTCTGTCGACTGACGTACTTCCGGCGGCGCGCCCATCGATCGGTTATAATTAACTCTGGCATCTCTGGACAATGTTGGACGGAAATATACCTCTCGAGGCTCAGACATCTGGAGGTGGCAGTGGTGGTGAAACTGTGGTGGAGGGCGGTGGTGCGGTGACGTAGACAGATCAGCTGATGATAACACGACGTAGTGACAAACATTTAATCACGTGTTTAATTAACGATCAGCTTATCACGACCCCGAGCAACGAATCGTTAATCTCGTAAATTAGTAATAATCAGCTGATTACGACGAGTGCCGAACTATTGACCACGTGACCGAGTAACAAACAGCTGATTACAACGAGTGACGAACCATTGATCACGTGACCCGGTGACGATCAGCTGATCAAGTGGCGAAGTACAACGTGATTTAACAGATGTTTACGTGTAGTCGGTTTTCACATGTCATATTACCAAGTATAGGTTACCGGTTACACAATTAGTTTTACTATTTAATTAGGTTACCAATTTTAACTTTTTTATTCAGGGCGTGACTTATGAAAAATTCAAGATTTTGCATTTGCTTTGTGTTTTAAAATAGCTTAGCAATACGTGGAAATCTATTTTAAGTCAAATTATTAAATAATAGCAAACACATTTTGCAAAAAAAGTGCTATTCCATTTTATAGTAACATTCTAAACTGGTTTAAAGCATTGTTATAGTTCACAGTACATAGTATGTATTACTGATTCGTTTTACCACCAAAGAGAATTTTATAATTATTTATTTATGAAAACACGAAAACTATTGAAATAGTTTGAAACATTAGTTCTGAGTAGACACGTGGTATAATATAACATTGCCAAGTTATGCGCTTTAAGAAGACTAAGTCAAGAATAAAAAAGGTTAATAAAAAAAATTAGGTTAAATAAAAAATGTTTACTAAACTATGAATATTATTTTCTGTACTCAATGATTATGAACAATGAACCCACTTGATATATTTTAGAATTAATTTTTCTAATCCTTCAAACAATGACATTGTTAACGTTAAACCACTCCACAAAATGCGGTCATTTATAACATGGTTATAGCAGCTGCGTAAAATAATTGGCTTTAGAGTGCCAAAAACTTGAAATACAAACCAATTACTACCAATTACATTGATGTCAACATTAAAGCTAATTTGTACCTTTGCCAGGAACTATAAAATAGGCCTAAGCGACAACGGTTGGATTTGTGAAAGAAGTCACTGAATTAGTAGTGAAACGGAAGTAGTGAAGTAGGCAACCGGAAGTAGTTAAGCGCAAGTGAAGTGTATAAGGAAAGCAGTCATGAAGTGGTGTAAGGAATGTTGGAACGCCATCGGATATGACTTGGCGCGACCTTCCATTCTCGAGAAATTCGACGGCACCAGGATTATAATGGTGGGATGACAGATAAAGTCTAAGTTATTTGTGATATAATAGTAGTATAATTGCTTGGTTTTAGCATAGATGAAGTAATATAATAATAATAAGTAATATGATTGTATTACTTCATCTTTCGTTTTAGTTTGACTGTGTGGTTGAGTAATAACAAACATTGCTTTTGCATTTTGTGTTTGAAACGAATTTATTTCTACACATTTTATTTGTATAAAGACACATTTTATGGGACAGATTTTCTGAGGCAGTTGTGTAAAAACAAAATAAAAAATAAGTTACCAGCAAAATTAAAAAGGGACAGGCCTAAAAGATGTCTTAATTTGAATACGACTTTATAACTTTTAATCAAATAATTTGACTTGTCGATTTTCCACAATTTTCTGATGAAAACCCCAGAACCGGAACATTTTTTTTTTATTAACAGCAGTATAGCTAATCTCCTATTTCAGTTAGTTAAGATATATACTCTTATCAAGATAGGCAGTACTTTTAGTACCCTTCTACTACAGCAGTTTCAAATACCGAGAAGATTTAAGTTATATCTTTGAAATCCTCCAAAGTAAATGTACTTGAACATTTTACTATTTTAAGAGCATGAATTTGTTTTGTTAAATGAGCACTTCATTTCTTATTTTAAAAATTCAAACATTTACACACGTAGTTTACCTGACTTTGAAGTCAAGAATGATGTAAAACTACTACAGGGAGACTATTTCGTTCTGGCACATCACTGAAGCAGATGCTGCCAAAGACGTCGATGACTGACAGGCATTGTTTATTCAACAGGAAAGGAGATCTCGATATACAAAACTGACTGAGTGTTCTCTTACAAGGAGTTTGAGAGTGAGAAGTTTTAGGTTTGCCATGTTCTATTTTTACTATTGGTCAACACCCGCAAACAAAGCTATACATAATTCATTGCAAATTGTATATATAGTCCAATTATTGAGCACAATTGTGCCAGAGATACTTTTGTTTTAATCGGAGGTCTTTTTTCTGCAGCTACTTCCGTCTTTACTCTTTTTATTCCTACTCTTGCTACTTAAACCTGCTAACTAGCTTGATGTTTTTCTACAATATAACAACAAACTATACATCGCCACCTTACCTATCTCAACTCCCTGTATCCCTATATTGACTGGTTCAATCCCAAGCCGATGTCCGATCTAGATGCCATTTTTCATTGGACTTTCTGACATAAGGTTGACGTTGAATAGTAACAAGAACACAGTGTGGTCCGTTTACTTATGAGAAATCTTAAAAAAATCAATGATTCAGAAACACACACATGCACTCGATAATAAATGTCCAAAATAAAATTTCTGTACAATTTTCCATAAATATAAAGAAACCGTGCAGAACCCTCTTGTGGGATCACCTTATGTACTGACGTTAAAATTTCCAAGGACAACTATATATAGATCTGAAGATGTGTTTTTGTTGCAGGTATTATCGCTGGGTGCCGACGTACTGCCAGAGTACAAGCTGCAGTCCCCCAGGATACACAAGTGGACAGTTCTTCACTACAGCCCCTTCAAGGCAGTGTGGGACTGGATCATCCTCTTGTTGGTCATGTACACAGCCATCTTCACACCTTACGTGGCCGCCTTCTTGCTCAACGAGCCTGACTTCAGCACTAGAAAGAACAAGAAATACGGAGATGATCCTATTGTCATTATAGACCTAATAGGTAAGTCAAATGGTGACTAAACTGATGTTAGAATACGCGACTCGACATCTCTGAATTCTGTAAACTGACTATTCTCTCTTGGTCATATTCTCAAATTGGTTAACTGATAACAGTTAAGCCGTTAAGGGTTATTTTTTACCGTATGGCATCATTGCTGCGCTTTATCATGTTTGCCGTTTCCTTTTCCTTTTAATGTTATCACTATAAAAAATTTACTGAAATTTGTACATAAATCAGATGGGCTGATATAAGATAAGTAGCCGTGTGTGTGGTCTGACCCTGAAAAACGATAGCTTTTAGACTGGTTCAAAACTTTACCAAACTGACATTGATGGTTGGGATTTTAAAATGTGGTCCTGGCTAAATACATTAAACTGGTATTAGTAATACCGCTACAAATGTTACAAATCCTCACTTTATTCAACACATATCCTATTCAACTTTAAGTACCGGTACGTAACAAAGTGCCGCTTCAAGAACTTTTTGATTGATTGAAATTGATTAACATTTATGTACCTGCTGTTTATTCTATAATATGCCATTGCTAGCACACATGAAATAATAATTAGGGGCCTAGCACAGTTCTCTTCTTGGCTAACACTGGTAAATTAGCAGTTTTAAATAACTTATTTTTTTAACTTAAGGCTCATACTACAATTTCTCTTAAGCTCTGTATATCTCTCTTTCCAGTCGATGTGACATTCATCGTGGACATTCTCATCAACTTCAGAACCACGTATGTAAACAACAATGACGAGGTTGTGTCACATCCTGGGAAGATTGCAGTCCACTACTTGAGAGGCTGGTTCCTCATAGATCTCGTGGCAGCCATTCCCTTCGACCTGCTGCTCTTCGGCTCTGACACTGACGAGGTAACTATCTACAAGCAGCTTCGCTTTGCTTTCAAAATCGTTGTCAGTCACTAGTGTTGTGGGCATAAGTCTTAATCCAAGTGTGAATAAGTTTGTCGAATGTTTCTTGAGGTAAATTGTTGTACATATAAAACTATGAGCGAGGAAAAAGGTGGATAAGTTAGTTATTTAAACCTATTTCTCACGCCGGAATGTTTTTACTTTAAACTACGACGATACGGCTTAGGTTGAAGGGTTGATAACCCCCTAAACAATAGTTTTTTTATTGGGTGCACAGCATAATAAATACCCCTGCCGCAGCAGACCTGCAGACTAAGATTTTTAATATCGAATACATCTTAAAATGTATTCCTACAGATTTTTTGAATTTTCTCTGTAACGTTTAATTTTACAACAACAATATAAAAAAAATATTTGTTTTTTAAGCTATACAAGATGGTCTCATTGAAAATCGTGCCTTTCAGTGTTTTAAGGGTAAAAATTAGGGGGAAACTATTTTTTTTTTTTTTTCAAAACTCTAATACCTTGTTCTCATGTCTCGATCTCGCTGGTTCCAAAAGTTATTCAAGTTTATCTGGCCCACTCCTTCAAGCCAAATTTCATCAAAATTGGACCAAAATTACTTTGAGTTATCGCGTTCACGAACGCAAAGGCCTATATATTCACAAATGAAAAAGATTTTACAAAAAAGTTAATCGGTCCTGGACCCAGGTCTCACCATGCCACCTACGGTAATAGCTACTCCCCTATAGGAAAATTCACAAAAAGCTTTTGATAGTGGTTGGTTAGTAAAATCACTCTTTTATTTTTCTCTTTGTAGATAATACCAAGATACATTTATTTCCAGTACACGTAATGAGGATTTTTATGTTTCATACTGCTATACCAGCTGATCATTATTTTAATATGATTGTTTATGTTTTGATTTTACAGTTTTGTTTTCTGTTTCCATCTTAATAAAATGAGTTCATTAAGTTATTCAAATCTATTCTTTATTTAAAACACAACAAATGGCGACGAGTGATGAAAGAAATGATATCAGAAGACTGAAACATAAAAGAGGAGCACTAAAAGGCCAGATTACAAGACCAGCTGATCATTATTTTAATATGATTGTTTATGTTTTGATTTTACAGTTTTGTTTTCTGTTTACATCTTAATAAAATGAGTTCATTAAGTTATTCAAATCTATTCTTTATTTAAAACACAACACATACTTTTTCTTCTTATTTCATCTACTAACAGATTCAGCTCAAAAAAATATTCACAAAATGTGTATGTTTGGCCCTCTGAAATAAGAAGGGAGAAAAGCACGTACATCATATTTTGAAAATCTAACAAAAAAAGCTTTTGTATTGGCCTACCCAAAGTCAATGATAACTTTCACCTCTAGTTAGGAAATGTAATTTCCCCATTTCAATATGCCATTCCGTCAGCAGCTATAGCTACCACTCTTGTTCTTTAATAAGACTGGTTAGTGTTACTCAATAAATATTTTCTCAATTTTCTTAATGGTTCATAATAATGTATTTTAATCACATGGTAGACTAACTTTAAAATTATCAGAACAAGTTTTATGGTGGATTTAAAAAAAAAAAAAACTAAAAAGTAACTTTATACAACTGTAAATGTACAGATTATAGAAGAACAAATAAATACATCTTAGTAATGTTTTTCCTTTACCTGGTAAAATGGTACTACCCCAAAAAATATCGGTTGTCTTGGGGATTTATAATCAAAGATCACAAACTTATTCACTCTTATTTAAACTGTTCTTACTTTGACGTTTCGATGTCTAGATGACAATGAACTCACTTTTGTGAATGGTAATATAAACCTCAGTATCACAGTAACTTAGCTTCTAACTCCTAGTTGAGTACCTCTATTTTCAAAGTAGAAATTAAATAAGATCTTTATAAATATTTTAAAATAATCATTGACGTTAAATTTCTTGGCAAACGATTGAAGTTTGTCAATAGAGTGGACAGAGGTGTTATACATTAATTTCTAGTTGATAAGTGCTAAAAAATTATCATTTTAAAATGATCATCAATCACAATTTTTTTAGTTTATAATATTTTGAAGTTTTATAGTTTTATTGATTCCTTAAGTGTACTCAAGTGACCATTAAGTGTCTAGATCTTAAATAGTTAATTGTAGATCAGTTAATGTTTCTAGAACTATTCCTTTTTAATAAACTAGAATGAAATATGATTTTAGCTAACTTTAATATTTGTGTAGTTTAACTTTTTGTAGAGTTATGTTACTAATTTAAAAGGTTGAATAGAAGTAACAATTAAGTGTTGAACATAGAAACACAGTTGAATAGATAACTAACTTGAATATAGTGATGAATATGAATATGTTTTTACTTCTCAGTATTAAGGCAAAAGGCACTCTTCAGCCTTGAAATTGTTGAAATATTTTGCTTTTAAGGATATTAAATGTTATTGATATTCTATGATAATTTGCAAATTTAATCAATAAATATTTTTAGAGGGGTTCAAATTTCATCTGTTTGTATAAAGTACTATTTTGTTATTCTAAAAGTGTAAGAAGTAAAACTTCAATACTTTTAACTTTGAAATTAAATGTGTTAAACAAAAAATTAAATTCTCTCTCTCTCTCTATGAACTCCTCTGATTTCGATTTCTTCCCAATCTTTTTTCACCATGGTTTATCTAGCCTAGTCTTTCAATGTTGTACCCATTGCATGGTGGAGCTATGTTATCTTCAACTAACTGTAGACGATTATCGGTGGTTCTTTGAATAGAAATTCCAATTCAACTTGAACAATGGATTTTTCTACAGTTAGTTAATGGTGTATGTAACTGTAAATATAGTTGTCTTCAATGTTGAACCTAGCGTAGCTTCATTAACGCGATGGTTGTATTCAGTTGTAAACAGTTAGTCCAATTTTGACTCTTTCAGCAGTTGGGCTTGGATGCAGACGAGGTCAGTTTCTTCCTGTTAGAGCTTGCTTGCTCTTGCTCGTGCATCTCGGCTGACACTAACTCACCGCGCAAGTCCTAACTTATGCTCAACTTTTACAACTATTTTACAATAAAAAATATAAGCTCAACTTTGACAACTAAAAAAAACTTAAGCTTTGCTTTAACAACTATTTTACATTAAAACTTCAAAATTCTACGGTAACCAATTCTATTAGAACACTAAAAAACTCAGTTTTCTTCTGGCAAAACTAGTCTACTAGTTTAAATCTGGACTGAGAGAAAACATTTTGCAAGATAAAAACTAATCATTTGAGTTTAGTTAAATGAAAACTGAGTATTTTTATTCATAAGGGATAAGGATTTTTTTACTTTAAAAACCATCACTATTCATTAAAATACAGTCTGTAGCGATAACATTTTTCGTTTTTGAAAATAACTCTCAGGTCTGTTTTCATGGCAAAAATATTGATTTTTAAATATAAATTTATCGTTACTTCAAGCTTTTATAGCTGTACCAGTTAATTTTAATATCCAACAATGTATGTGCATACATGCTAAAGTTTTAGATTTAAAAAACCACTCTTTTTTCAACCGAACCAAGTCTTTCCATTTAACTATTAGGCCTATAAGCTCACAATTCAATGAATGATGCAATAATATTACTGTGCAATGGTGTTTTAACTAAAATATGTTTATAAATACATCACAGCACTTACTTATTGAAATCACCTGTATAAGACTTAAAGTTTTAAAATATTATATGAGTAAAATAAATTTCAATATCCAATTTTTTATTGAATCAGTTAACTTAACCACTTGATTGAAAATACAGGTTTTAATGTAAATTAAGTAGTTAAATACTTTAGCAGCATAACAAACAGACTTTACATAAGTTTTGTAAAAAATGTGTTTTCTCAGTCCTCTTTCAGCTAATAGGCTAGTTTTACTATCATAACATCTCTCTACCTAATGTTAAATTGAGATGTTTCTTTTAACACTAAGAATACACTGACTCGTGTTTGTGTGTATTCTTGTTTGACCTTAGTAAATTTGATAAATTGATAATTTACAAAACCAGACTGATTTTTGCTACTATACTTAAATTTAGTCATAAATGAAACAATTCACAAAACTATCGATCAAATAAATCAAATCTTTCAAACTACTGTAGCACCATTTACCAGAAAAATATCGTAAAGGCGTCTTTTTCAAAGTATAGAATGTCAGTAGCATGTGATTAGATTTTGCATGAATTGCTAATGTTTCTGTGATAATGTTATAGTTTTAATGATATGCTTTTTTGGTAATATGTTGCATGATATGTTATAGGCCTACTAATATTTCTCCTGCTTTCAATTAATAGTAATTTTCAAAAATAAATTTATCCATCTAAAACGTTGTTGAACTGATTTCCTGATGTATTGAACGTGTTACAAGTGAGTTTTAATTGTTACATGGTAGCACATTTTGTGTTAACAAAACATGGTTTGAGTTGCAATAACAATATTGAGTTGAATGGTTGTGTTTCATCTGGATTGGTTGTTTTTCCTTTGTGTTGAACTTCTTAATTCTTGTCAAATCTAAATTAAAATTTTAATCATATTGGGCAAAGTATTATGGATGTTACAACTTATAAGACAAACACATTGTATGTGGTTATGTATATTTTTCCCTGCATTGTTTTGGGTTTAAATAGTTACCAAACACTATTTTTGAAGTACTAGGGACGTTTTTAAAGTAATGACCGTTTAGCTCCGTTGTTTGCAAGTACGCCACGGCGAGGCTGCTTGCCGTTTGTTGGTATCATTGGTGAACAGAATGGCGCAATTTGTAACTCTATAGTATGATATGAGCTCTATAATATGAGTACGCTTCAATGCGTGTTTATAAAATAAAAAAATCTTAATCTTAAAAAGTCTTCTGTCACATTCAAAATAAGATCAGTGATACTTTTTTACCACAAGAACCACATTTAATGCCGAAATCGAACGCCAGATAAATAAAAGTTATGACGTTAATGCAATAAAATGCAACTGGTTAGAGGTGTGAACATTTCTGTGAACATCTTCTTCCTTTCTGTTGTTCTGGCAGAAATCAGGTCCCCACCAATATCACAATTACTTCCGAAGTGAAAATTTTCACGTTCATTTATAACCTTTCTAACCGTTTCTTCCCTTTTCCCTATCATTGCATTAGGGTCATAAGCTTATAAGCTCATCTGGTGGTTAATGTCTGCAGCTGATATATTTCTTGCACACTCACTCATCTTATCCTTCATGCGGAGGGATATTCAATAATATTAAAAATTTTCTAGACACACAGCAAAATTTACACCTCTGCTACATAGCTCCAACTGCCGAACTGCCACAGTTTTGTTCACAAATGATGCCAGGAGGCGGAGGAGAGTTGTGGCGTACCCGGGAACTAAGGAGCTATACTCCAAAACGGCCATTACCCATTACAGTACTTACACAGTAATCTACCCTCGTATTTGTCCTCATGAATTTGTTCAATTTATCTTAAACGTTTCAAAGGTGAAGGAAGGTTCAACAGAGTTGTACCTATTGCTTTTGGATGCTTGAGACATTTTTTAAACTTGTAAAAGCACCATCTTCTAACAACACATAATTTGCAGTATTATTAAATAGGCCTATATGAGTTATAAATAAACGTGTTATTAGTATTTAAAAAAAGTTAAGAATTAGCTTAATTTAAATCTACTATTTTTATAAAATAAGCTGAACGTGTTCATGAATTTAATAAATTAAATATGATAGTGAAGAGAATATTTTTATGATTGGTTAATCAAACACTTGACATTCCTTAGCACTAAGTTTGTTAAGCGGAGTTTTAACATTCAAATTTCCAGTTCATTCATCCCAACTAACCTGTTTTTTACACTGATCTGTTAACATGCTTCAAAACTATCAAATAACTTTGTATTAGTTTTAATGGTAAGGTAATAAAGTAGACTATGTAATGAAATAGTAGAAAGTAATACAATGTAGGACATAACTAGGTGCTTTCGCTTTGCTTTTTAATGCAAATTGCAGATGAAATTTAGATTAAATTAAACCTAATTTGAATAAGACTCAATGAGCAACTAAAGAAGACAGTGGGCTGCTCAAAATAGGTTATATCAAAACTAATTTGCTTCAAGAAATAGTAAAGGTAAAAAGTAAACTTTGAAGTACAGTAGATTGTGTTAATGTTATGTGTCTATTCTTTGCAATTGTTTCAGTGTTTTGTTATTCATATGTTACAGTAAATGTGTTATGGTTTTAATGGAGAAGTAATGCAACTCACATTGATTGTTAACCAGCAGGATTATGTCAAGATAAAAAATGACTTCAGTTAATAATTATTTTAGAAATAAAAAAATAAGATTTCTAAGTTAAGTATTGTGATAGGAATTTAACTTGTGCAGCTACAGCAAGACCAAGCTTAATTTACAGGAGCCTTTTGATAAAAATGTTGGTAGATAATATGGCTGTTATGTGTTTTATGTTTTATAGTGTTATACTTTTTTTAACAACATTTGCACCGTTTACATTGCACTACAATTACATTATTTATATTTAGAGGATTTAAAATATATAGCCTACACTTTTTCTGTAAGGTAATTTGCTTAAATTATTATAATCACTATAATCTTACCTTAGATTCCTCTTCATCACATTATAACGTACAATTTTAAACATTAAAATCGTGTACCTGAAGGAATAAAAGGAACATTAACAGGTACCTATTTAAAGTTCACTGTAATGTCTGCATGTGTAGTTTGGTTTTGTCTCAGAATATTTCAGCAACATATATTTTTATTTACATACATTTGAATTTGTTTTTTGAATATGACAAAACTCTAAAATATACATAAACAAACTACCAAAAATTGCTTTTTATAAACTGTCCAAACAATTTACTGTGGAATTCCAACAAGCATTTTTCATTAAGTGTCTGTTTTTACCAAGAAAAACAGTACTACACAATAACAGAAAAACAAGTTATTATCACATAACTTGGTTTTCTGTTATTCTGTAATTCTATTTTTTTAACATACACTTAATACACCCCTAAACAAACAAACGCACAAATAATAATTATGATTAGGATCTGAAGTGCCTCATCAAAATCTCCTTTGGGCAGGGCAATCAATTTAACAAGTCTCAAAGGAAAAATTGAAACCTGTGTGCTGTATAACACACTACAACAAACATCTTCCTTCCACTAGGTACTGTAAAAGGAACCATTTAAAAATAAGTTTAATAAATTTTTAATTCTCAGGTATTTAAAGTATGCCTACTGTTAAGAGTACATTTTTAAACCTTTAAGAGTATAGGACGTGGACCTTAAATGTTCTTCAGAAACCACAAAGTTTTAAATTTAAAAACTCATTTGCTTGGCTGGCAAATAAATCCAGTAAACTGTTAAACGTAATTTTTAAAAATCTGTTTTGCTCGGTAGTTATAATGGTCACCTAGTAATCATAAGTTTGCCGGTTTGACCCTGAGAAAAAGTGTGTAACTTTTTTATGTTTATGTTGGACCCAGCTGTTCTTGATCATTGGGCTTTAATAAATTGACCTTACTAATGAAACAGGTGGTCTTACTGTATGTAGTCAGTAACAAAGCTGCACAGATCATCTCACTCCATTCTACACTCATCATTCACTCATATTTTGTGTTAAAATACCTAGGTGTCGTCTCCATCTCAATAATTGATTATTGATTAGACTGTTGCTCTACTGCAATCGAGAATGTTTGAATTGTTTTGCCTTTAACATCTACCACAGTCTCAAAAGGTAAGAATAAGAAAGCAATCGTGTTTATAAAAATGCACACCACTGCATTAGATGCATACCGTCTCCAGCACAACAAACTCCTAGCATTAAGCATTTCAGTCCCAAACTACAGCCAGTATTGTTGACATTTCTATATTGTGCGTAGTGTTCGTGATTTGTCTTTGTGATAAAATGTCAAGTTTTTATCGCACGTATTAGATAAATGTTGATATAAAAGCACAGTCTCTATTAACTTTTCATTTGTATATTGAGACATATTCAAAAGGGAACAGTAACAAATCACACCGTATAGCAAGTAGCAACAGTTCAAGCCCTAAATCTTGTAAGAAAATAGATCGGAAGGAGGGTAGCCACACAGTATTCCCCCACCTGATGGGATTCTAGGATGCGATTTCCTGGGTCGCTTCTAGGACAGACATCTGTGGAGGCTGGATTGAGCCAAAGTGGACAGTCCTATCTGTGATGGTTGCAGTGGGCGCTCTGCTTAAAGACTAGTGACTGAAGCGACAGTAGCTTCAAGCAACATATTACTGTAGCGGAGCAACAGTCGCATCATTCGCTCATTCAGACAATACACTTTTACTCAACAAGTTTACACTAAGGCTTAAACACACTGTCACAACAGATTTACTTCATGCTGCAGCATGTTACTCTATAGTCAAACTTTTCTCCTCATTTAAATTGGTTTACACTTGGTTGCTGGTTGCAGACAACAACGTTGATCGGTCTGCTGAAAACTGCTCGCCTGCTAAGGCTTGTGAGAGTTGCTCGCAAGATTGATCGCTACTCTGAGTATGGTGCCGCAGTGCTGCTACTACTCATGGCTACATTCGCTCTCATTGCTCATTGGCTAGCTTGTATATGGTGAGTCAAAAGTGGTACAGGTATGGATACACTTGATCTTGAATCTGTTTAAATATTGCAACGGATTCATTGCTTTATCTTGTTGCTTGGATTTGATCAGACCTCCACCGAAGATTTTAAATTAGATCAATCAAAAATGTAAATGGCCTTAGGTAGATTTAAAAAGTTTACATCACAATACTCAATCTTTCTTAAACAAGAGTTTGATCGCTTGGATCTTGTTTCTAACCTCTCTCGTCATTCAGTTACTTTAGATCACGTACAAGTCATCAGCCTCATCACTCTATACACTTATATTTTACCGAAAGTAAATTCGCCTATTGGGTAGCTCCATGGTGATGATTGTAGTGTCCAATCGAAATCGATCACTACTTACCCAAGGTTCATCTTTTGTGTATATTTTTACCGTGTTGTGAGTAACAGTATAAGCGTAAATATATGTTTTAAGTGTTATAAGACCTTTATTTTATTTACTTTCTGTAAATTTAATAACACGTACAATGCTGATCAAGAAGTTACTTATATTTTGTGAAATGTTTGCTCTACCTTTTGGAAATAAAATACTGTAAATACTTATAAAGCTGGTTAGTCATCCTGATAACATTTGTCTACTTTACTTATCCCTATTGGCTCCTCCTGAAGTAGGACCTCTATTTTTCCCCCCATCTCACTTGGTAGGCAGCTTAACTCCATGATCTAAGTTGTTTTAAACACCTTGGCCTTCCCAACCTCGTGCTTCCAATGCCTCTTTCACCGTGTATAAATCTTATCTTCCCCTTGTGTGGTATTTCCTAACCATTCCAACTCTATTTTTTGGTTTGAATGCTTTTCACATATTGTATATTATTTTTAACTGTCTCCAGGTATGCTATAGGCAATGCAGAGAGGCCTCATCTACAGAGCAAGGTCGGCTGGCTCGACATTCTTGCTAATGACACTCACCAGTTCTACTTACATAATAACACTGGCGGACCATCAATAAAGGTACCATATAAGATATCATAGTTAAGAGGTGATAGTGGAGGAATGGCGGGGGAGCGATCTGATCTACTGGTAGTGCGCTGGACTTTGGTCCCTGAGGTCCCGGGTTCTAGTCCTGCCCATCACCAATGGATTTTATCTAAGTGATATTCCCGCATCCCCTAGGCCCAGCCTGAAGTAATGTGATAAACAATCCCGGGTTAGAGCCTACGGTCATTGACTATAGGATACTGAAGTCGGCATCCCATCTATATGGACCAGCTGTAGCCAATTTTTTATTGAAAAAGAACATACTGTAGTATAGTGTGACCAGTCACAGAATACACTAAAATTCTATTTTGTACCTTATATTTTGTTGCTGACATATAGTTGACGGGTCATAACAGTTGCTATAGCTCACAATAAGTCGTTCCACCAATTTGACTTTGTAAAAAGTCCTTTTATTCAACAGAAATCAGTAATTTAGATCAGCGCAATCCGTCGGTGGCTCACATCAACCACGATGATTAAAACATAATTTACAACGATTTAAAAAACTGGCGACAACTTTAACATGAGAATGGAATGTCTAGTTGTATCAATAGTCAAAGATAGCATCTTTGAAAAATGGAATAAAATTAGGAATGACTATTGCGGGCTAGGCCTACCAACAATTTGAAGTAATATAGCAATTATAAGTGTTCCTTTTCCTTAAACTCTGTTTTACACAATATCCATAGAAGGAAAGAAGATAAGAAGCCAAGAAGACATAAAGTAACAATAATAAAGCTTAATGTTGTCCTAATAAAATGATCATTATTTTTTAATTATAATCATTCAAATGACGAAGAGTTTAAATATACAGTGATTATTTCATTCTTAAGAATTTTAGATCCGCAGCAGGACTTCTAAACTCTTAGAAAATTATGTTCATCTTTTTAGTAGCCATTCACATCTTGTTGTTTCCGTCTGTTACAGTCAAGATACATCACAGCCCTCTACTTCACGTTCTCATCGCTGACTTCAGTAGGTTTTGGGAATGTTGCACCAAACACAGATGCAGAGAAAGTTTTTACAATTTGCGTCATGTTGGTAGGATGTGAGTACGATACCCAGTTTTAGTTCCTGCAGTTCAATGTATTGTTAGGAAGGTGAACCAAATTGTTTTAAAGATAAATATAAACATTTTCTGTCACTGCTTAGTAAAGCACAAGTTTGACATAATTTGGGATCTAAATTCTAATCCTGTCTATGGGTGGGAGGGAATATAATGCAAGGTAAGTTCCCAAACCAAGTAATGCTGTGATACACGATAGTATGTTTTATCTATGACGATAGATTAAAAGAACAAAACTTTTAGATCAGACAATTAAAAAAAGCAAAGAAAATAAAAAGTTCCAAAAAACTAAGCAAGATCCTTTAACACTGTCCACTAGACAAACACTCACAGTAGCCCTGTTCGCACGGGGCAAGTTTACAACTACATGCCAGTAAGTAAGAAGCCGGCAAGCCGGGAGGCGGCGAGTGCGCTTGTATTCGTTCACACGATGCTTTTTCCACTCACTCAGTAGCTGGCTTCCAGACAACTTGTGTGTGTTTTAATAATTGTAAAATCTTGCTAGTTGTGTTGGTGTTTGCGTACATTTATAATGAAATGGACTCTGGGAACGTATTGGTATTGTGAAAACAGCTGAAATTCCAAAATAAATTAATGTTTTTGATGCACCATAATCCGTAAGTCTTCCTACTCACTCTCACCCAGCGCACTTTCCTCCTTTTCCGTTTCTCATCTTGCCGTCTAATCAATTCATTTTAATCACTTTTGCTACAACTACAACTCCCCCTAGAGCCAACTCCTCTATCGTCTTCGAATAAGATGCGCACAAGCACAAGCAACTGTGCTCACACTGGGCTACTTACACTCTAGCTTGGTCAAAAGCTGGCAAGTAGGCGTGTAAAGTAAATAGCCGCAGAGTCAGCTTTTTCCAGAGCTTTTTTAAAAGCAGCTTTTGAGTAAGTATGTCATTTACACTGAGCTATTTTACGAGCTGCGTGTAAAAAAGCCAGTGTGTAGCTTATAAACTCACCCCTTGTGAACGAGGCTTGAGATCACCACATTTGGTATGTTCTCTAAGCACTCTAACTATAAAATTGTATATTTATAGAGAATTGTAAACCCAGTAAATAAGTGAAATCATAACATAAAAATTCCTCAGTTCTCAAACAAAGTGCACACATGGTGAATTCTACCACCAATTAAATCAAAAATTTAAAAAAATATATATAAGGAAACATAAAACATTTTAACCATATGGGGTGTCTCGACTAATTTTATATAAATTCTAGGATCTTTTACATTAATTTTAATGCTTTATTTTTTTATTTTTTTTTTAATGAAATGTTGGTTTCAGCACTGATGTATGCTAGCATATTTGGAAATGTTTCGGCTATCATTCAGAGGCTATATTCTGGAACTGCGAGGTATCACACTCAAATGCTGAGAGTCAGAGAGTTCATCAGGTTCCATCAGATTCCAAATCCTCTGCGACAAAGGCTGGAAGAATACTTTCAGGTAAAGATAATGAGCTTCCACACATTGAATGCTACCCCCACTAACATTCATTTAATCAATTAATGCCCCTATCAGAATCCCTCATAAGTATAGATTTATAATATATTTTTTTATTGTTTTTGAATACAAAGTTTGTCTAGTTTTTTTAGAGAGTGTTAACTTGCAAGTTTTTTACTTATGTATGGATGAACAGGGAGTAAGCTGGTCAAGTGGTAGAACGTAGGGCTTTGGTCCTTGAAGTCCTGGCTCCAAATACAGTATTAGCCAAAATAAACAGTAATGAAACTGAATCAGCTGTAGTTGCCTTCTCGATCAGCTGATTCAATAGGTGATTGTTGCCACGGCTTTGCGTTCATTACTTCTTTCTTATTTGAGGTTAGTTTTTGTTAACATGGTGCTAACAACTTTAGAAAAAACTTTTATCGTAGAGCATTATTTTCGCTCATACGGAATTGGACGTGCGGGTGGTCCAAGCTTGTCACACACTGCTTTACGTTTTCAGGAACATTTCCACAAAAACCCGCCTAGTAATGCTGTGAATCTTAGTGTCGTCGAAAAATTTCGAAGAACTGGTAGTGTTTTGACACAGCGAAAGGGCTTTTCAGGTCGCCCAGTTACTGTCTGTACAAATGAAAACCACGGAAGAGTGTTGCAGCAAGTGTTACAGTCACCGAAAAGAAGTCTAATGCGAGCTTCTCTTAAACTGAATATTAGCAATACGTCAATGAGAAGAATGTTCAAAAATATTGGTGGTTTTCCCTACAGGATACAAACTGGACAACCATTGGATCGTATAAACAAACTAGCCAGTGTTCAGTACTGTGCTTCAATGTTAGCAATATGCTATGAAGAACCTGATTTTCTGAGTGATGTATGGTTTACAGATGAATGTCATGTGCACCTTAATGGTTACATAAACAAGCAGACAACACGTTTCCTTGGATTTGAACGTCCTGACATTGTTGTAGAGAGGCCACAGCATAGTAAACGTGTAACCATTTGGTGCGCTGTGTCAGGGAGGGGTATAGTGGGACCATACTTTTTTTAAGGCAATAATGGAGAGACTGTTACTGTGAATAGGGATCGATATAGGGCCATTCTTGATCGTTTTGTGAGTGACCTCAGGAGATTTTGTCGTGCACGAAACCTGCCGTTAGGTTCACAGTGGTTCCAGCAGGATGGCGCAACCAGTCACACTGCCGTTAACAACATTGCTTTCCTCCGACAAACCTTTGGCAACCGTCTCATCTCCCTTAGAACAAACTTTCCTTACCCAGCCCACTCCCCCGATCTTACAACACCGGATGCTTACGTGTGGGGAATGTTGAAAGAAAACATCTTCCGTGAGGACCCACCATCTACCATCGTTCAACTCAAAGAAAAAATAACCATGGGTATTAGGAGAATGGAACAACCCCTATTAATAAAAATGGTGCAAAACCTACAAGAACGGTACGAGTGTTGCCTCAAACTGAACGGGGCTCATATTGAACATGTTATTACCCGTGTTTAGCCGATTTTGCTTCCTTTGACTTATATGTATTGTTAAAATTTATACATAAAATAAAAGTATTACCATTAAAAGTATTAAAAGTATTTCAGTACTGTTTATTTTGGCTAATACTGTACTAGTACCGATAGATTTTATCTACTGCTACCTTCTAGGTTTGTTCTGAAATAATGTGTAAAATGGCTCCGGATTAGAGCCTGGCGTCTAAGGATGTAAAAGTAGGACAAATATAGTTTTTTAAAGTATTACAATTCTTTGCAAACGTTAAACTTAACATTTTTAATACCTACTTGAATTTTGTAATTTCCTTGTGTGAAGATCCATAAGTCTGATTCTGATTCTTGTTCAGTAATCTCAAATGTATGTCTATTTCAGCATGCCTGGACGTACACAAATGGAATTGACATGAACAGTGTACTGAAAGGATTTCCGGAGTGCCTTCAGGCTGATATTTGCCTCCATCTCAATCGTAATTTGCTCACCAATTGTTCTGCTTTTGACGGTGCTTCTCCTGGGTGCCTGAGGTAATCTTCACTTACTTACTTCCCCCAAGGCTATGCAGTACATATCGTAGTAGAGATTAGGTTGTACCAACAAAGCCCTTGTACCTCTCAATCAGAGTTTTCCTCAGTTGCTCCTATTCTCTCCATATCAACCGTTACGTGGCTCTACCATTGCTGTAGCCTTCCTCTCAGTAGCCTCCCTTCAAGATTAGTTTTCATTACTTGTTTGAGATTACCGTCATCCGTTCTTTTCAATAAATGCCCAACCTATCTTAACCTTTTGCATTCATTCTCACACACTACATCTGAATTCTTACAAAGTTCTCTTAGTTCTTTGTTGCGTCTTTTCCTCCTAAATTGGTAAACTCAAATAAATTAAAAAATGTTTGAAATAGTTAAGTGTATGTCCATTCTTCGCATGAGTAAAAAAAACTATTTTAAATAGCTAACTCTTCCTGTGCACACCTAGAATTTATAGAGGTAAGACAATTTATACAACGATTCTCTATTAACACAAGCATTGATGTATTGGAGGCAAAATAGAACGACATAATTAAGGTATTTATTATCTAAGTGCCTTGCAGGGCCGGTTTAACCCATACACGAACTACGCGGCCGCATATGGCGCCACGAAAAAGTGGCGCCGTGGCGCCAACGGAACATTTTTTTTACGTGAACAACGTAATTTTGTTTATTTTTGCTCAGAGTTCAAGTATTCAAAGCACCACAATAAAGGCATTTATTCTGTTTGTACCAACAGCATTTGAAAATTTTGTATATTTGTACAGCACTACAACTCAAGGCCTCAATGCCATTTTCAGTTTCGATTTGAACTGAGCTGACGCTTGGCAGTCGGCAGCGTCAGCGCCAGCGCGGCACCTTTGGGTTTCATTCATTTCACGAATCACTCATGCTCGAGATAAGCAAGCGCGCAGCGCCACTTGTCACAACAAGAAACTTCCCCTCACTCCTTTCTGCCTCTGATCCTAGAGCAGAGCACTACGTTGTATTGCACTCTTTTAGTTGTATACGTAGGTGCGTAGGCCTATACCGTATCGGTATCGTATTGGCATTGTTTTGATTCATGATTGTTGATAAGCGAATTATTACGAGTGTTTTAAGTTTAATTTATAATTAGCACATTAAATAAAAAGAAAGTATAAACTGAATGAGTGAGTAAAACATATTGCGAGCCGAAACTATGAAAACAATGGCAGAAAAAAAACCGTCTGGCACTTATCATAGAAAGCGTAAGGCGAATTTGGAAGAGGAAGAAAAAAAAGCCAAATCAATGAGTAGACTTTTGTAGAAAACATCTGGGTCACATTTCATAATAAAGTACAAACTAATATTATTAGTAAATCAGCGGATCGCCCAATGCAAATCTAATGGAAATTACAAGTTACAAGTTGTAACTTGTAGTTTATTATGAAATGGGCCCCTGGTGGCGAGTCCAGTCAGCCCAAAGAAGTCACGATAGAAGACGGCAATGACGTAGGTATTTATTTATTTATTTGCCAAGGAAAGATTAAAACAAGCAGCTGATCACAAACGGCAAACATTACATCATTGCCGTCTTCTATCGTGACGTCATGCTTGACGAGCATTACATTACGGCCTGTTTTTTTTAGTGTGTCCTTGGTTTTGCTATAGTTTATATGATGAGTAAAAGTGTATAAATGTCACATTTCTGCGAATAATAAACAGCCTTTTATTGCAAGTAAGTATTCTTCTACCTAAACTTAAAAAAAAATTCTTCCCAAAATTATTGGGAAAAATTCACAAATACGGTTAAGTTATATGTTCATGGGTTCGGGGGGGGGGGGGGATTCTAAGTGGCGCTGATTCGGGTGTTCGCTTAACTCTGAAAAATTCCTAGAACCGGCCCTGGTGCCTTGTAAAGAGTACTGTTTTTTTTGTTTTTTGATTATAGAGCTTAGCTAGCATACCGGTACCAGATAAAATTTTAATCCAGGCGCTTATAGTTGCAGAATAAAATGCTACATAAAATAACACTGATTTTACCTCCTAATTTTAGGAAAGATTTTCTTAGTTTATTAGTTATACGTTGAGTCCTCTTCGACTTGCAGGGATTTCACAGAGTGTATGTTTGTTTCCAGAGCGTTATCTCTAAAGTTTAAGACAACTCACGCCCCTCCTGGCGATACTTTGGTCCACAAAGGGGATGTCCTTACTTGTCTCTACTTCATCTCCAGAGGCTCCATTGAGATCCTTAAGGATGACGTGGTTATGGCAATACTAAGTAAGTTCTTTCTGTTCATAAAAATGTACCGGGTATATTATTAAAGGGTTCTTTCCTCTGATGCTAAATATACAAAAGAGTATACTTTTTTTTAATTAAAAATATATTTGTGAGTTTCTGAATTGGTTTAGTGTTGGTGCTTTTCGTTGACTAGTGGCAACACAGAGATCGAGGTTTCTACACTAAATTCACTGTTTTAAAATCTTAAACTATAACTCAATAATAGTATACTGTTAAAGAGTTTTTGAGTGTCTTAAAAACTACTAGACGGCAACTTACATTAAAATGTTTACAAATCAAGATTCAAGATTTTCAAGCTAATTAATTGTGCTCTTTTACCCTATAAACTTAAACTGTGAATGAAAATATAAAAAATTTTCAAATAGTGATTTTAATTTCCATACCACCTTCAATTTATTCCAGCTTACACAAAACTGGCTTTCTTTAAACTGAGTTGGAAGAGTTTTGAAACAGCCCCAAATGTAGTTATAGTTCTATTACTTTATTCTGAATAGCTTAGGGGCAAAATATCAAATGGTTTGTGTTGTGAGCTTGTTGTGCACTGTCAACTGCTGGAACTCTTTTTTTTTTGGAGTGAGTAAAGTATTCCTAGTCCAATTTTTCTCCAAAGAATTACATTTTCACGCTTGTAATACCCTCCAAACAGTTGACTTCTATTTGCATAGGTAAGGACGACATCTTTGGTGAGAACCCTTGTGCCCACCCCACTATAGGCAAGTCCAGCTGTAATGTCCGAGCCCTGACCTACTGCGACCTCCACAAGATACACAGAGATGACCTCCTGGATGTCCTAGATCTCTATCCGGAGTTCTATCAAAGCTTCTCAAACAATCTAGAGATAACGTTCTACATGAGAGATGTGAGTTAAACATATCTCATCAGTGTGTAGTGGAAAAAGATATATTACCTTTCTGTTGCTACTGAAAATTCTACTAATACCACACCATCCATATATTAGGTTTTACATATTATGCACCGTTATTTTAATGAACTATGATTAGCATACCAATTCACTGTGAGAAACACTAGATCAATATCCAGTTGTGCTCACCGATAGTATTCATGACAAATCACTGATTTAATGTACGGTACAGCAATAAACTCCCAAATGTGTGAAACATTTGAATATACAGAATACCTAGTAGGTCTAGATATTCCAATCCCATTGTTAAATATGTATCCAGTTTAGGAACAAAAATTCACATAGTTAAATTGATCCACCAACAGTTCTATTGTAAACATCAAACCTTTCATGGCACATCAACTATCAAGGTACAGTATGAGAAACTATGAGAGTATATATAATCTGTACACTTTGTGACAAGCTCATTCAACTAAGATCTTTTTAATGAAAAATTGACAATTGCTGGTCAACAATATCTACATAGAATAGGACGACTTTAGGATTTAAAAGTCAAAAAATGGAAGCCCCAAAGCAGAACTACGGACGACAATGCGACATATTTGCAGAAAGAGGAGGAGGGCTGCAGAATGCCCAACTAGTTGTTTTTTTATTTTAATTTTTTTTTATTATTTATATTTACTGCCAAAGTTAGGGACACATGGCCCTTTCATAACCTGTATAAGTTTCTGTAGAAAATTTTACATAACAAGTTAGTGGAATTGTTTTCAGCTGAAAATATTTGTCCTGCAGAAAGTCGATAACTTTATTTTCTGCAGAAAAATATTCCGTTTTGCAAACAGTAACCCTACAAAACGTCATGCATGCATTACATAAACGAAAGTTGCGACATCAATATTTGGTGCATCAATGTTGAGGAAGAACGCATAGAATAGCCGAATTACCAAAGTGATTCAATAATAACAGTATAGATGTATTCGAACCAATACGTTTGAAAACTTTTTTATTTCCAAACATTCATCAAAATTATCACACACGTTCATTTAGACGCAACTTGGACCGTGTAAGCCTGCAGAAAACTTTTGGATTTTTCCAAGTCACAGAAAGTTTGTAATGTTCTGCTTTGGGATGGAAGTAATAAGCCCAATTGTTTTTTAAAAAGTTCTACTCTTGTCCAGGAGGAGCAGGCAGGTGTTGACCCAAGGGCCGGACGTATTAGCAGACGACATGTTCATTCCCGCTCCAACTCGCAGGATCCTGGGGGAGGGGGTGGGGAGACAGCAGTGTTAGGGGGACTGGATATAGACGTGCGAAGGTTCACATTCCGGCCACCAGGGGCATCCAAACTGAACCAGTCCAGCTTTGAAAGCACTCACTCATTCCGAGCAGGTTCCAGTGATGAGGGCTCTGAACACCAGTAAGTAAAACATTTGATCTTTCACAACTTGTTTTGTTTAAACTTTGTCAATCTAAATAGCTTGGATAAAAGCCACTCACGACAACATATATATTGGACAAAAGCTCACAAAAGCCAAAACTGGGATTTCCTCCTCACATACTTCTTCAAACCACCCCTCAAATTTAATATTGAACTACAGGTATAGAAAATTGTAAAAATAGTTAATTAATATTGCCCAATATATTATATAACAGTATATGTATTAGTATATAATTAATAAATTTTCATTTTGTTTATGGATTAAATTCCCTTGTCCTCTTTTTGCCTGAAACCTTGTACCCTAATGTTAAGTTACCTGTACACACAAATAAACTTCAAATTACTTATTAAAATAAATTTAATTTTACAGTGAAAAATGCAGTGGTCATGGAATTTTGGAATTTTCTACTGACAAAGCGGGCCAAGATGTTACCCCCATGAACCTCCAGTTTGGTGAAAATAACCAAAGATCTACGACTTTAAACTCCATCACTGGTTTGTTCCATATTGTTTATATCTCAAAGGTTTTTATTTAATAGTTTTTGCACTTTGAAGTTCTTACGTTTGTTATTGCAAAGTCGGTTTTGTCAAGTGTGCTGTGATAATGATATTATAGTTTGTTTTCATCTGTTACAAATATATGCATCTATGCAATACTCTTAGTCTTCATACACCAGTGGTGTAGTATAGGGGCAAGTGTAAACAAATCTTCTTCTACAATCAACAATTTTACTTTTCTGTTAAATTTGCTTCTTTTCTAAAGTGTTTATTGCTAACCCTGTTCTACCATAGTCTTCATGAATTTTAATACATAATTTCTGTGTTATTAATTTCAATCTGTGTCTAGCTGTTTATTTGTTTTTATGTATTTTTTTGTGTAATTCCGTTAAAATAATCCTTTACATAATTTTCTTGACAGAGATTTCTCATCTTTTATTTTATTATCGAATATTTAATATCATTGGTCTCTAACTAACTAACTCTGACTCCCTAGTCCCTAAATAGTTCATTTCAATGATTGAGCACTAAATTGTTGCAATAATTTTTTATCTATTGGTGACATGTAAGTTCTTATTATTTTAATTAAACTGCATGATTTGCATTGTTTTAAAAGAGTTTTGCTAAGCAATGTTTATGCATGTTGCTCAGCAAAATGTTTTCTGTGTGGTGTTTGTTTTACTAAAATGGTTTAATATATTCATAGACTATAACAAATACCTGGGGTATGTTGAACATTTTCAATACCAAATGCATTGTATACATTCAACAATAGCCTATATACAGATAAATATTAAGAATAAGATAGTTAAATAAGCATAAAAGATAGAAAATATTTGGGAAGAAATTACAAAATTATGGTAAATTGTAGTTATTTGAATGTCAATATTTTACCACAAACTTGGGATCTTCATTAAAATTATTATTCTCTTTCAACTCTTATTAGAATTGGTTTTACTTGTAGTTTATATTGAACATTATGAATTGGTATGTTAAAACGTGATTCCTCCACCTTAGTAATTGAATAACTATTTGTTTACAACTACTATTAATACTCTAATTTGAAAAAAATCCTTTACCAACACTACCCGATGTTCTGCTTAGCAATAAACAACAGATTTACATCCACACCTAGAACTCACCTTTACAGCAACACTTAATAACATTTTATTTCCATACACACACTTTCCAAACTAGAAAGTTACTATTTTGTTAAGTTAATTAAAGTTCACCCAGTTTAATTATACCCTCTTATGTCCAAAGCATGCAGAGACTTTCCGTTACATGTTCGTATGGCAAATTGACACATCAATATTGTTCAATGGAATGGACTTGTTCTTTCCTTAATAATCACTTCTCCACACTAGTTTATCTTTTCAGCACTAGCTTGACAAATACAGTATACTAGTTATACCATTGATTATTTGTATTAACCATTCCCAGCTATATTCTGACTACAAAATCCAAATAAGCACATTACTTTCGGAGTGTGATTCGTAGCTGATTCCTTTAAATTGTTTTTAATCGTTAACCTTTATAGTAATCAAAGGACAACTGTAGTTTCAGAAAGCTCAGCTTATTTTTTGGCATATCTATATTTTCATGTTTGTTGTCATTACTTATACAATTTATGTACCTATTTTTTTTATTTTTTATTATGACATACATGTAAATAAATTCTTATATTTACCCTGAACAACTACTTTAGCCCTCCGAAACTGGAATAGTATTGTTGGTACTCTAAAACTGATTAACTGAAGTTAGTCACCTATACATTTTATATTGTCAAATTCAGCTTTTAGTTCCAAAAAAACTATGAGGAAATTAAGGGGAAAAAGTGCTGAACCCAACCTTACAAAATTTGTGCAATACTCAATGAAGTCAAAAGACCTAGCATAGAGACAGATGCTTTGGCTGTGCTTTAGAGTTTCAAAAAAAATCATATTTTGTTGATTCTACCAGAAATATTTTTTTCCAATTTTCAAAAGTACACACAGGGTGTTTTTAAAAGAATGCCGGGATTTTAAATGGTAAATGCTTGGATACTATACAAGGTAACTAAACGTTTTATATGTCAAATTGAAGCTAAAATAACTAAGTTTTGTTTTCCGTACAGTAAGGGAGGAAGCTTTGACCTTGGTATGCGTAAAATAGTTTCGGCGTGATAGGCCGCTATTGTGACTCATATGCCTGACGCCAGTCGCCAGTACGACGTTTACGGCGCAACATAAGGCACAGATTGTAATCTGTAGTTAGTAAAGGTTATATCCATTGCAAAATTCAACTAAATTTAAATCTACTTGATGATAAAGAAACTTGAAGCTGGTTTAATGTTTAATGAGTTTAATGGCACCGAGGTGTTTTGAAAAGAAATTCACCCGGCCGGCTAAAAACAAACGATGACATAGTCAAAGGAATCCGACATTTCTGCATCATAAGCCCGAAAAAATCGATAGTCCAACGAAGTCTTCAGTTTAAAAAGCCTAAATTGGTCACTCTATGTTGTTGTCTATAAAAGATAGAGTCTTTGTGCCGAAAAAGATTAAGTTAAGACATCAGATCAACTTGCCGATCGCCCTAAGTGTACAGACTTTGCCAGGTTTACGCTCATATAAGATGGATGAAAACATGAATGTTATTAAGTCATTCCAAATTGTATGAAAGAATGAAAAAAACGTTATTCTTTTCCCTTCAATTTGACGTTTAAATCGTTTAATTATCTTGAATAGTCCTTGAGCAACGACCGTTTGAAATCCCGGCATTCTTTTAAAAACACCCTGTATTTCAATGTTTGTATATCTACCGAAAAATTAAAAACCTGCAAAAGTCCCTTTTCACTAATTTTATAAAAAAAAAGCTTGCAAAGTCAAGACCAGAGACAGAGGACTTTAACTAATCAGGTTTGCCATCCGAACATGAAACAAGTAGGTCACTGTGTTGGATGTTAGTCAAGACGTAGATGTGTTGTCTATCAGGCATGTTGGATCATCTGAAGCGTAGTCTGACCGATCTACGTTTGCATGGGTTCGGCAATAAGCAGGGTTCCAAGGAGGAATCACTTAACCAAGGTGCGTATTTGCTTCGCTCACACGCTCTACATTTTACACTGGAAAAGTTCATTCACATCATCAAACGTGAAACTATAACACTGTATAATGAGTGTGGCTTAAATAAAACTAATTGTTTTGTTAAAAACTTAATTTAGCTACTGAAATTAATTTAAAATAATTTTAGTATTTAGCTTACCTGGAACTCTTCAAATTATCTTGTATTTCATACAAATACTTGTTCATGTGAACTTCATGGATCTTGACCATACCTGCATCATTTATCGTTTTTTAGTGTTCCTATAACGGTTATGCATAAAATGCTGAAACAACATAAACTTGATAACAATAAGCTTTATATGTTACCGTACCATTTTATCTTATTAATTAAATTATAACACAAATGTTAACTAAAATGAAGCAGAACTACACAAATTATCCCTTTATCCTCTAGTTAAGCGCTAATTCCTTTAATAACTAGAGCAACTTGATTTTATTATAAATTAATAAAGTGGTACCGGTAACGAAAAAGACATAATGGTTCATTCTTTACAATTCATTTTGGTTCAACATTTACAACAAGACCTAAACACTGAATCTATCGCCCTACCATGTTGACTGTTAATGAAGTTCTACATTTAATGAAGAACTTTCAAAATGTTATAATACACTAACAAATCATAACCACAACATTGGAAAGTAACTGATGCCAAGCAAGTACGACATGGAGTGTCTTCATAATAATTAATAAGCTCTATGAAATAGAAACTTTTATCTAATGCATTAATTTAGCATGATAATGAAATGGAAATGGTTGAAATTTATCCTCCTTCCTAAGCATGGTTCTTAACTTTTTATTAAATCCTAGCAGTCACGGGTGCATGATAATTCTTATTGAAATAAGTTTTTTAATAGTATACAGCAATAGATTTTATTCCTTAATGTTTTCCAATTCTTACTTATTTTATTATAAATTAACCTTTTGTTAGTATGTCAATCTTTTAAAATTCTGAATCTGTTTTTGGTAAACTATATGATTGACTGAAGAAAAATTATTCACATATATTAACACAATGTTACATATTATGTTTCCTACATTTCAACAAACTCTCATAATGAGAGGGGCACAACGATTGCCGGACTCCTGCCCCAATACAGGAGTGCAAATCTTCCCAAGCACTATAACGGCAATTTTGTGATTTTTTAGTAAACTTTTTTGAACCTGTATTTAAGCTGCCTGTTTTACCCCTACCACCTAATAGCATTTAACCCCTTTTAAAGCTAACAATATGTGGAATAAGTGGAATGAACCCTTACAAGACTAACACCATCTAAGTCTTGAACTTTATAGTGACCCAACTACCTTAGAATTTAACAAACCTTTAGAGAAAGGATACCTGTATGTTGAATTGCTCTTTTATAACAACTTTGCAAGAATAGTTTTCCACCTTTCATGTACATTTAAGACCTTCAAGGTAACAACTACCACGGTGCAAACAAATTGAAACACAATTAATGTTTTAAGATTTTGAAATTACATACGGTACAAATATGATTGAGTAACTCAAATTAATTTAAAGGTTCAGAACAAAATTCTACTAAAACATTGATGTGTCTGTAGAAATTTCTAGTAAGTTTTAAAATTAAAAAAGAGTTTAAAAATAAAGTGCTTTTTTTTATCAGCCCCTGTGATGTTAGTTTCTGATTCTTCTGACAGACAAAATAGTTTTGCTTCACTCCACAATTTCAACAACTGTGATCTAATCAAGTTAAGGTAGTTTTTACCTGAAGGTAGACCGTGCTGCATTTCACCACCCTGTATGCTGTAGTGTGGATGCTTGCTTGTGCCTTGTAGGACGGTCCGAGAGCCGGATAAAACGGTCCTCAAGTTCCAGCAACATGAAAACCTCTAGACTGGACTTGCGGACCATTCCTACCCCCACCACTAGAGAAACCCAGCCCCTGTTGGAGCATCAAGACCCAAGTACGTGTCAATGTTGGTTACCGGTACTGGTAATGTTGTGGTACCAGCGCTGGTACTGGTATTGTGTGTGTTTTAATGATACAGCACACCGCATAACTCAAGCAGCTTAGAGGCCTATGCTTTTTGTGTGGAAAATGGCTTGATGATCAAATAAGTTGGATGTAATATAGTGGTTATTATCTCGGACTAGCAAGAGGGACGAGATTTATCTCTGGCTTAGCCAAAAACAGTTTAGAGGTTTGGACTGTTTTCTTTTTCACTTAAAATCTTTTGAATTTGTTTCATACTGAATTCCACTGGTGTAGGCAATTTAAATAATGAGGTAGGGACAGGGCTTGATTTAAGGGGAACAAATTAGAATAGCGTTCTTGGATCACTCATATCCACATATAATGTTTTTGAGAGTCAAATAAAATTCAAAGATAATAATGCACGAACAATTAAGATGCTTTGTGATCTTTTTTTAGGAGGGATAGAAACTAGGAGAATAGTGCATGATGGAGAGGGAACATATTATTAGCTCCTGAAAAGTTTGAGCTCTAATTCCTCATATTTTATAAATCAAGTATACTGAGTAAGGGATAATGCAGGTAAACCTATTCAGATAGCTACACTTTCAGTAGACAAAACTATCGAATATAAGCATTAGATAGTACAAGTAATATGTGTATTAGAGCGAATCCTCTAAGTGTTGACGGTAAGAAGGTATACCGGTAATCAGGTTTTGATTTGTTGAAGTAGAATGCATGTGATTCAAACATACTTCTATCTTACTTACACCAACTAGTTACTTTTAGCAACATTGTTTACTAAATTTAGTTTCAGTTAAATCCAAACTGTTGTTTTTTAATAAGAATGTGTCTATAGTTGGTGACAGCAGCTTGTGCAGAACTACCAGTTTTTAGTTTTATAGGGTTAAGCTTTCATGGTACCGAAATAACATGCTTTGATAATTGCTAAAACATATACGCAATTTGAATGATGTCAGTTTGTCCCCTTGAATTTGTACTCAAAATTCTCACCTAAAACTAAAATTAAAGTTATAATTTCAATACATTTGTTGTGTGTGACTGTCAACATTTGTTCCATTTGACACAAATAGCTATCTTATATATTTAAAAAATTTGGTTTTTCTTTTCCGAGTTCGTTTGACTCTTCTACCCGACTGATTTTCATGATTGAGATCCCAAATTTAAGTTATGCACCCACAGATTTGCCATCAAGCATCGGCATATATGTACCTATAATCCCACTTGGCTTATACGCAAACGAAATTTGCTCCCGATGTATTTCTTATGGGAGTTAAATTTGGTTTTTCTTTTCCGACTTCGTATGGCTCTTCCACCCGGCCGATTTTCATGATTGAGGTCTCAAATTGAAAGTATGCACCCAAAGATTTGCCATCAAGCAATCTACAGGACCCATGCTGCTCCACAGCGTTAAAATAAATACCTATAACCAAATTTATGATTTTTGATTGAGAAATAGAGTATCTTGAACTTAACTGATTTAAGCGATCGATAACTCAAATTAAAGCCTATAATTTATTGATTATTTTGAGTATAAAACATATAAAAAACACATGAACAATACTGGAGCTACCGTATTAATTTTTAATCATAGAAAAACCTTATGAAAAGTAATTTCTATGTTGGTTGTTAACCATGCGTTTGCTTGAAACTCGTCCAATTTGAATAGTTAATAAATGAAAGCCAGTATTTCACTGAAGGTTCTTAGACCAAAATATATAGGATTATATAATTATAACTTGTGAAATACATCTTAAATTGAAGTAAGAAATCGAAAATGAATCAAATTACGTTTTTGGTAGAGTATTACAGTAAGTAAATATATGCCAAAGCTTGACAGGGAGCAAATTTGGTTCGGCGTATAAACCGAGTGGGATAAAGATAAATATATACTGATGCTTGATGGCAAATCTGTGGGTGCATACCTTCAATTTGAGACCTCAATCATGAAAATCGGTTGGGTAGAAGAGCCAAACAAACTCGGCAAAGAGAAACCAAATTTAACTTCCATAAGAAATACATGGGGAGCAAATTTCCTTTACGTATAAGCCGAGTGGGATTATAGAAACATATATGCCGATACTTGATGGCAAATCTGTGGGTGCATACCTTCAATTAGAGACCTCAATCATGAAAATCGGTCGGGTAGAAGAGCCAAACGAACTCGGAAAAGAGAAACCAAATTTAACTCCCATAAGAAATACATAGGGAGCAAATTTCGTTTACGTATAAGCCGTGTGGGATTATAGATACATATATGCCTATACTTTATGGCAAATCTGTGGGTGCATACCTTCAATTAGAGACCTCAATCATGATAATCGGTCGGGTAGAAGAGCCAAACGAACTCGGCAAAGAGAAACCAAATTTAACTCCTATACGAAATACATGGGGAGCAAATTTCGTTTACCTATGAGCCAAGTGGGATTATAGATCCATATATGCCGATGTTTGATTGCAAATCTGTGAGTGCATACCTTCAATTTGAGACCTCAATCATGAAAATTGGTTGGGTAGAAAAGCCAAACGAACTCGGAAAAGAAAAACCAAATTTAACTCCCATAAGAAATACATAGGGAGCAAATTTCGTTTACGTATAAGCCGTGTGGGATTATAGATACATATATGCCTATACTTTATGGCAAATCTGTGGGTGCATACCTTCAATTAGAGACCTCAATCATGATAATCGGTCGGGTAGAAGAGCCAAACGAACTCGGAAAAGAAAAACCAAATTTAACTCCCACAAGAAATACATAGGGTGCAAATTTCGTTTACGTATAAGCCGTGTGGGATTATAGATACATATATGCCGATTTGTATTAATTACATTTGTGTATTAATTAAGAGCGCAAATTAAGAGTACATCATTTCCACTTGAGAACCGTTTTAGATGGCAGCACAAAGCTTTAGCCAGCCATACATTTCCAGAGTGGCAATGACTGTTGAGCTCGTAATACACACAAGATTTTTCCTATCACCATAATTAACTTAAAACAGGACACACAGATTAACTATGTAGTTGTGTATAAAATGTCATTTACTCTAAAGTTATATCTTTGACTATTAATATAACTAGACATTCCATCCCCATGTAAAATTTGTTGCCAGTTTTTTTAACCAAAATCGTCGTAGTTGGTGTGAGCCATCAACAGATTGTGCTGATCTAAATTATGCCTACTGATTTCTGTTGTATACACAATCTTTTTTAACAATTCACACTAATGACTTAGGCTAGTGACTTAGGCCTATGGTGAGCTATAGCAACTGTCATGACCCATTAACTTCGGCACCAACAAAAAATAAGGTAGAAAATAGAGTTATTGTCACCAGAGCATTCGGTGACTGGCTCACACAACTACGTTCTTTTTTAACAAAACAATATGGCTACAGGTGGTCCATATAGATGGGACGTCTACTACAGTATCCAATAGTCAATGGTTATATTTGCTTTTTTAGGCTACCTATGTTGTTTACCCGATATTAGTGTTATATATTAACGCCAAAAGTAAAATCAGCTGATTGAGCAAGCGAGAATGAATAAAGCGGAATTGAGATATTTTGCATACTGTTTACAAGTGTGGCAATGTGATCATTCTATGAAGTGGTAGGAAAGGTTTTTTTTCCTGAGAGAAACAAAGCTGCAAAGTTTAAGGGGAAGCCTAGGAAGACTAATAAATGAAAACAAAATTGTTATGGCATAAAGTTGTGTATCAAGCAGTTATTATTTTAATGGATTATGATTGCATTTAGCTTCAAGAAACATAACTTTCAATATTCTATATTTTATGTACAATTTTATAGGTAGCTCAATCTATATTTAGCAAACTTAACTTCAATCTGTTCTAGATAAAGATTTAAATTATTTTTTTATGGTTTAACTGACCTCTGTAGCTGATGCAGTTGATTCTAAATTTTTGTTTGTAATCAGTATAGAGTCCTGTTTGGCTTCTTGAGACCAGTACGGTAGGCCTGGGTAACATTGTACAGATTTCATTTTCCGCATGTTTTAAGAAATATTGATTTAGAAATAATTGTTAATAATCCACCTTTAATTATTTTAATCACGTGTTTGACTGTATAAATGTACCAGGGGAAACTAACTTTACTACAGTCATATTCCCGTTGTAATATTGACCTAAGCTCTGCTGAACTTTTAAAGTTCTTAAGGTGGCTTTGGAAAGTAAATGATGTTGGGTTGCGATGGCGACAAAGTGGAAATTACTATGGCTACATTTGTTGTTTCAAATGCTAATACAGTGCCATAGTATTTTACACAGCGATCTCATGGAGATAGTCTTAACGACACAAATATAGAATTAGATATTTAAAAACGTTATTAAAAAGCTCTACGAGTGTCGTAAAAAGCTTTATTGATATATTTTCTTGTAACGTTTCTTTGATTTTGGTGGTTACAAATTATTACAAAATTGTTTGAGCCCTTACTTCTATGTCGTATATTTTACTAGAACCATATCTGACATTTTCAAAATCTTTCAATAAACCTTCCTGCAACTTTTGGTAAGAAAACTGTTTGGTTCAGTTTTTTTCTTTTTTTTATGAAAGCATTTTTTGAAATTCTAAAAATTAAATTGAAATGCCTAATTAAAAAAACTGTCATAGGTAATTATTTTTACAGACTAGTTTTCATAAAAGTCAAATTAGATTTCTTATAAAGCCAAGTTTGTTTTTAAATCCTCTAGTACAATTCATTAGTTATAGAATCAATCAATAGTTATAGAAACTGTAACTATCAATACTATAGTTATCAATGGTTACAGAAACTGATTTTTGTTTTATAATCAATGGCTGTACTAGCTTATTTCACTGTAACTTAAGAAAACTACCTTTTCTCTGTTCTTAATATGACTGTGCCGCCTTTATAAACCTAATTAAAGATTCATTAGGATTTTAAAAGAGGCAAAAAGTTAGTTCTACAAGTTAGTTAAGAAGAGTTACCTGAATAAGTTGCCAGCCTTTTCTTTTAGGTTGTGTTAGTGTAAGTCAGTTAAGTTATCACCCGATAAACATACCTATAAATTAAAACCGACAACACTTTATTATACAACTACCAGGATAATCATCCCTACACATGGTGTTCCTGATCATGAGTTCCTTTTTTCACATTCTCTCTCATTTTCAGTGTCAGAGTCTGGGCTGCCGAGTCCGTTGCATCAGGCAATAACGGCTCCGGACTCGTCTACTGCAGGTGAGACAAACTTTATCCCTACCAGAGTTACTGACCACTTCACCTCTCACCGCTTCAAACACCCCCCAAAACCCCCTAGGTTCTGGCCCCGTGAGTAACTTCTCTGGTTTCCCCCTTTTCAAATTTTGCTAGCCAAATTGTACATTACACTATTTCTTGTTTTAATACAAAATCAATTAAAGAGTATTTGTTAATTCAGATATTATCTTGCATGACTTCTAAAAGTTATAGTCCTTTCTGTAGATTTTTGTTCTACCTTTTCAATCTTGCCTGAAAATGTTGTTGTTACTGGTATTTTGTTCTGATGAAAAGTCAATGAAACAGTAGTTATTGAGTCAGGTATTATCTTCTTTGATTCTGTCTGATCTTACCTAGCATGACATCTTTGAAGCTTCTGACTTTGTGTGTGACGGTTCCTATTCAAATTCTGCTGGCAAAATGTTTTGTGTTCCACCAATTAATTGTTTTGTTAGAATGTATGATCACAGTAGCTAACAGTATTTTTTGCTGCTGCTTCAGATATATAATCTTTGTATACTTCTTTTCTTACCATCCCATACTTTTAAAATCTGATGGTTATAGGTGTTTATTCTAAACCCAAAGGCTTTTTTTGCCATTGCAATAGTTTTCCTTGTAAAAGTACACCGTGTCCCAAAAAAAACTGAACAATTTTAAATTGTTATATAATACGTCCAGGCATATCTAGTCTACTTTGAAGGTGATCATATGATAACTGAGCTCATGAAGTTTTGTTCAATATCAATTGTAACTATCAGCTGATTCATTGTTGTCGCTTGAAACTTGAAATTTAAAAATATTGCCCTGTCATTAAGCAGGCACCATGAGCGCACGAGAGAAAGCGCAATGCGTTGAGTGGTACATTCAAAGTAAGTCAGATATTGCAGTGCAAAGAACATTTAGAAGACGCTATATGGTCGACGTCCTCCATCACGGAACAGCATTCGAGCCTGGTATGACAAATTTATGTTAACTGGAAGCTTACAACATTTAAAAGGTAAAAGTAGGCCGAAAATCCAAAATAAATTGATTGAAAACGTGCAACAATTATTTCTTCACGACCCTCGAAAGTCTATGGCGAGAAATAAAAGTAACGCTCAAAAAATGCCGATGATTTTTCCCGAAGGTCGCGCTAAAAATGCCGAGCGCGATCTGGCGATTTTTAGGTTAAAATTTCGTAAAAATCGAATTTTCGATATTTCGACCAACGAAAATCGATGTATCGCATCTAGTAACTTTCGACTCAATGTTAATATATGGGTTAAAAGAATCCGAGTATCCATTCGGTTGTTATGACAACTGTTCGATCATTACGAAACGTCCGGTCAGCCGGACGTTGGCACTTTTGGCTCGTTTTAAAAATGTCCGGTTCCCCGGATGTTGGCACTCAAAGGGTTAAATTTCAAATTTGTCAAAATTATAAGTTTATAAGACAGAAGTTTCCGATGTCCGAGAATTGAGGCAAAGAATAAATGCAGCAACATTACTGACGAAATGCGCCATAGAGTGTGGGCTGAATTGGACAGCCGTATTGACTATCTTTCTGCCAACAATGGCAACCATGTTGAAATTCACCAACACATATGATATCAAACAAAACTTAGGAATATTTGTGTCAGTTAAAATGTAATTAGGTTATCGTGTGATTGTTAATAAACATTTTATAAGTAAATAAAATTGTTCAGTTTTTTTGGGACACGGTGTATATCTAAAATATAACAGAATTTCACGAATAAATAGAAAGGACAGAACTGTATTTGTATTGGAGACCTCCCTTTCAATGAAATATGTTTAATTAGGTACTGGTATTTTTATGCTTGTAAAAACTGTTGTAAAATTAGTTTTACGCCCTCTTTAACCAATTAAATATTTAGTCTGTTTTGTCCCTTTTAAATGGGTAAAAAAAATTTTTGTTGTAAAAAATTGCAGAACCTTTGTTAAGAATCAATGCTACAAACAGAATATTTCTATCTATTTCGGTTTTAAATACAGATTTGTTTCAAGACTTAATTTACACACTGTATAATAAATTCTTGTAGTTCAGAGTATTGAGTTTTGTCATACATTTTTGTAGCATGTATTGAATCTTTTAAAAACAATGCAGGCATGTCATATTTGTAAAATTGTTCTATTTACTTCAATTATTTTGTTTGTTTATTTGTAGTTTTTAGTAATTAATTGTAATTTTGTTTTACTATTCATGACGTAACAACTGAGAATCACAACATGCAGTGTTAAACGCTAATTTTAGTGTAAACCTTCTTTTAAAAAATCCCAAGTAACATTAATAGACAAGGTGGTATGGTTCTTTATCCCGATTAGTATTTGCTCATAAGGAGCAAATTCTTATCTAGCATTATGATAAATTGGGCATTTGTCAGGCACCTGTGTAAAATTTCATAATTACTTTCTCCTAGAGATTTTTTTTTTTCAATCAATGTGCAAGTATTCCTAGAATCTGTTAAATGTTAACGTTACACATAAGTTTACAGCAAATTTGTTACATTTACCACACTTGGCAGTTTTTAAAGTTTGTGTGTTTATCTGATGATGATTTGCTCTGCAGTTGCCACTTCGTCTGTGGTACCGTCGTTACCCGTGGAGGAGAGAGAGGCAGGACCTCATTGTTGCACTAACTGTGGGAGGAGCTACGATAGTGATATCAACTCTAGGATAGATCGCCTTTCCAGGTTGGTAAATGTAGAAGCTACTTGGATGTCTAAGATGAGATATTTAATCTATCATTGTTTGACAAATTTCAAACTTTTCTCCTTCACCTGCAATTCAAACTGTTCGCAAAAGCTAAAGTCTGTATTGTACGTCAACCTATAAGCTGTAATAATTTTTTTCTCACAGTTCTAATTTGATGTATCTAATCATAACTTTAAATGGGTATAGATAGATGAACAATATTAGTGAAACATTAAACAAATTTTAGTGCTTTCCTGATTATCTACTGCACCATATGGACTAAGTTCGTTAAAAAAAAATTCTCTACTTTGCCAGAAATCAGTCTTCCTTTACTGTAAAGGGATAGTAACCCTGAAGTAGAGTTACTTATTCATTAATTTCTACTCTGATTTTTCCTTCTAGACATTTAACATCATTGGAGCAATCGGTGGCAACAGATGTAAGACTGATTTTGGCGTTGTTACGGCAGCAAGGAATGAAGACTTCTGGTTCCTTACCAGAAAACCGAGAGGTAAGATTAACTTTATATGAATGATGTAAACAAAACTAAACCTACAGTAACAATTAAACATACAAAATCTAGAATATTACTATTACAGCGTCTAACATTTTTTTATTATTAATTTATCACACATTTACACATTTACCGACATTACAGAAATCACCTTTCTTTTCTAAATTCACTTTCCTAGGAGAACTAAAAAATTCTTGTATTGGTTTACCAGCCTCTTTGAACTATATCTTAATCTGGCTGGCTGAGTGGAATATGTCATTACGGTAGTGTAAAATCTTGGAAATGATAAAGATGAAGTCAGTTTACCAAAACATCAGTTCAATTGTCACAAAGCCCGATCCTCATCTCTAATCCAAGTCAGCACTACAACACTAAAAATCTGCCTGGATAAGCTTGGAAAGTACACAGTTATTTACATTTACTCCGTGATTTATTGTCTGAGGTTCGTCCCGACAATCGCATGGCTCAATTCAGGACACATCCCCAATTTCACCTTCAGGAATTACACTTACAGTGCCATCATCATTAGTCTACAAAACCGCGGCTTGCTTGTTGAGTTTGTTTGTTAAAGTTTTTCCAAAGATGTCTCGTCACCTAAAACGGTTTGATATGTTTTACCATGGACAAAAAGAATTAAATATAGACCGTCAGCTGTGCTGCGGTTACCATAGGTTCTGGCGCACACCGCTTGGAGCACCACGGTAGTTACGGCGTACGCGCTACGTAAACTACAGCGGTGTGCGCCGGAACCTATGGTAACCATGGCAACCGCAGCACGGCTGACAGTCTATATTTCATTCTTTTTGTCTATGGTTTTACTCTTCAGGAGAAGCTGCATGCCACCTAAATTGCTGTTTTTGGATAAAAAAAGAAGGGAAATTTCTTGAAATGGATTCAAATTCTGTTTCAGGCATTGTGGTCGGAATCAAGTTCCAGACCAAGGCCAACCACAGTCCAAAGAAGCTCAAGCGTTCCACAAAATGGCCGTAGTATACATTCCTCAACCCCTCTGTGCAGGTGACTAACCAAACTAAATCATATATCTAGCACTAAAACTGTTTCATCCCTTTATCAAATCATTTAACTGCACACACTTTTCGTTATAATGCAGTACCAAAAATTACTAACCTAACAAGGTCTTTACAATTAACTGCAGGGAAGCGAAGCAAAATTATAAAACGTTTAATCTTCGGATCATGACCAATTCATTGAACTAGCAAATACCCCTGCCGCAGTAAACCTGCAGACTAAGCCAATTTCCCTTGATAGGATTTTTACTCAAATCGATATAAATAAATATGTCCTTGAAGTTGTCGGATTAATTCCCGATTTAAAAACAAGAGCAATTCAGAATGTAAGGAACGTTTCGTTCTGATGCTGCTAGGCGCACGCCGATTTTGTACATTTTGATGTGTGCACACTCAGCACACTCAGCAAATCAGTATCAGTCCGCGTCCAGCCATAACAATAGGAACATCCTCGCGCTACCCGTTTTTTTTTTTTTTTTTTTTTTGCAATTGAAAAACCCTGCCAGTTGTGAGGTGCGGTCAGTGATACAGTTTTTTTTTTCCAAAAAACTTAAAACCGATAAGACATTTATCGGCAAGTGTGTGAAGTTTATGGAAACAACGTAATGAATTAAAGTTCTGTGCAAAAATGGTGCATCTAGTTTAAAAATAGCCAAACTGACGCTCATGAGTCATGACGAAGTGAAGAGTGGACGCCCGAGCATTGTGACTGATGGAACTGGTCCCTAAAGTTGATGAATAGGTTCGCAAAAACCGCCGATTCACGATAACGGAGCTTTCGCTTTGTTGTGTGACAATTTCCAACACCAAAGTCCGTGAAACTTGAGGGAAACAAAGCAAAAACCTTTGGTGGTTTCGCGAACCTTTTCATCAACTTAATCCACTATTTTTTATTTATGGTCTAAAAAATGGCTTAAAAGAATTGCAAAATATTATATTCTGGATATTAAAAATGTGAAAACCAATTTTTAACACCATAAAATAACAACCGGTGGCCCTAATTTGGGGCTAAGCCCCTCTTACCCCTACCCACCGCCATGCTCTCGTCTTGTACTCCTCACACATACTCCTCTTTCTCTTTCTCTCTCCTCTCTCTCTCTCTCTCTCTCTCTCTCTCTCTCTCTCTCTCTCCCTCTCTCTCTCTCTCTCTCTCTCTCTCTCTCTCTCTCTCTCTCTCTCTCTCTCTCTCTCTCTCTCTCTCTCTCTCTCTCTCTCTCTCTCTCTCTCTCTCTCTCTCTCTCTCTCACTCCATTCCTCGATCATCCTTTCCTTTTGCTAAAATACCCAGCCTGGTAAAAAGCCGGGGGAAAAGCTTCTGCTGTGGAGAATCAAGTCTTCTCTACAGGTATTCACACTTTTATCGCCGCTGAATTTACTGGTTTGATAAGCCCAGTAGCCATGACTCCTGCACTTGTTCACAAAATCTGTGTGATTGTGGGTGATGATAATGATGCCTCCCTGATAGCAGGGAGATGTTCACAATTATGATGTTGACGAATTCGCTGTGATAGCGGGAAAGTTACACCTAAGAGGTGAGGCTGCTCAGGTTATTTTAGTCTAGCGCCACAAGGTTTAGTGTCCTTAGTCCGGTACTGGCGGTACTGGTCATTAGGATTGCTGCAAGGCATCCGAAACCTCGACCAGTTCACCAATAACTTGGTCATCTCCCGATGACCACGTTCTAACAGTGTATTTAGATGGTGGAATCTCAGTAATCTCACCTTAGTTAAGTTGTGAAACTTGTTCAATATTTACATGGAGATTCTTTCACACTTTTCTAAAGCACCACTTCCAGTGCAAAAGCTTATTGTATCTCACAGTTTTCTTATGATTTCTGTCCTTGTTTTCCCAGGGGTTCCACTCAAGAAGAACCGCAGCCGGAGGGGGCAGTGGGGGACACAAGATGGCCACCTTGTTCCTCCCCCCACCAACAGGCTAGTGTCATTCCACGAAGAAGTCAGTCTCAACCTGTAGACGTCTCACAGGTTAGCACTTAATCTGATTTTGTCTACAAACTGATATTGATCAACTTGTTTCATTATCATAATAAAAAAGATTACCCACTGATCATTTAAGTTTTTTAAAATTTCAATTATACAGAGGAACCTTGATACAAATCTCCCTTGATAAAATTTTCCAATCTCATATATTTAAAAAATTTTGTTTTTATTTTCCGAGTTCGTTTGGCTCTTCTACCCGACCGATTTTCATGATTAAGGTCTCAAATTGAAGGTATGCACGCACAGATTTCACATCAAGCATCGGCATAGATTACTCTATATTCCCACTCGGCCTATACCTAAACGAAATTTGCTCCCCGTGTATTTCTTATAGGAGTTAAATTTGGTTTTTCTTTTCCAAGATCGTTTGGTTCTTCTACCCACTTATTTTCATGATTGAGGTCCCAAATTGAAGGTATGCATAACAGATTTCACATCAAGCAACGGCATAATATTAATCTACAGTCCCACTCGGCTTATACACAAACGAAATTTGCTCCCCATGTATTTCTATGGGTCATAATTGAGGTCTCAAATTGAAGGAATGCACGCACAGATTTCACATCAAGCATCGGCATATATTTTTCTACTGTATTACTCGATCAAAAAACATAAATTTGATTTATTTTCGAATTCTTACTTCAATTTAAGATGTATTTTACCAGTTATAATTGTATATAATCCTATATATTTTGGTTTAAGAACCTTTAGTGAAATACTGGCTTTCATTTAAGCTATTAGTTATTCAAATCGGACAAGTTACAAACAAACACAAGGAGAACAACAAACATAAAAATTATTTTTATAAGGTTTTCTATGATTATAAAAATCAATAAGCTCCAGTATTGTTTGTTTTTTTTTTATATGTTTTAGACTCGAAATAGCCAGTAAATTATAGGGATTAATTTGAGCTATTGATTGTTTGAATCAGTTAAGTACAAGATACTGTATTGCTCAATATATGATATTTATTATATTGAATTTTAGCCTCCTGATCACAGTTAAATACTAAATAATGGTGTAAATACCTGCATTCATGTGATCAATTAGTTGCTAAATTGCAACCGGTTTCGACTCACAAAGGAGTCATCGTCGGGCCAGTACAGATGTCTTCTCGCTTCATTTGAAGGTCGTCAATTCATGATAAATAAATACATTTAACACGCACACGTACACGAACATAAAAACAAACATTTAGGCCTAAAAACGAAAGATGATACAATACGGTAACGGGACACGACGTGATCGGGCGGGGGTTATGTCTAGACTGCCGGTCAGGATCAGCGTGGTCAGTGATGACGTCGTGCCTGGATTTCCCGATCAGCTGATAACTTCATTCACAGCTGTCCCTTGCGCTAGTATCTTGATTGCAGTGTCGTAAATGTAATTTGATTGAAATGAAATCTTGTCATTGATGATGTTTTGGCTGTCAAATTTAACGGCCCTATATATTTCGAATTCTTCCAAGGTGTTTGTATTAAATCGGTCATTTGGGAGGTGTAGGATTTTCATGTTATTATCAATATTAGTGTAATTGTGGTTGTGAGAAATCAGATGTTCTGCGAAGGTCGAGGTCTGTGCCGCTGTAGTTCTTTTCGGTAGATGTTCTTTAAACCTTTTGTTGAAAGAACGGGATGTTTGGCCTATATAATATTTTGGGCAGTCATTACAATTGATTTGGTAAACTCCTGTTTTCTCAAAGGTTGCAGTAGGTGTCTGGGGACGATTTTTTAATAAAGAACCTAGTTTATTATCAGTTTTGAACGAAACTGTGATTTTATTGCTGTTCATTATATTTTTAAATTTAGTGCTGAGAAACGAACCATACTTCGCAGAAACATAGGTTTTCTTTTCTTTATTTTCGGGTTTTTTATTTTTATGCTTGGAAATCAGTTTATCAATCAGGTTGCTTTGGAAACCATTGGAAACAGCTATATGTTTGATTGTATTGATTTCTTCGGTATAATCTATTGTGTTCATTGGTATGGAGAGGAGTCTATGGACAAAACTGTTGTAAGCTGCTAATTTTTGAGAGTATGGATGATGGGAATCTGCGTGGATGGTCTGATCTGTACTAGTTGGTTTCCGATATATTTTGAATGTGAAATTGTCATTTTTCTTCGTTATTGTCAAGTCCAAAAAATTCAGGCTATTGTTGGCCTCCTCTTCTAATGTGAATTTAATATTTTTATGCATGTTACACAAGTAATTGTTTAGCAGAGAGAGCTGTCTGTTGTTACCATTAAACAGAACTATGGTGTCGTCCACGTATCTGTAATAAAAGATTATCTTATCTTTGTAACGATTATCTGAGGTAAACAAATGTTTGTTTTCGATGTGGTTGAGGAATATCTCGGCCATAATACTAGATAGTGGAGAACCCATTGCTAGCCCATCTTTCTGGTTGTAAAAGTTATTTTCAAATTTAAAATAATTCTGTTTCAACACTATTCTTATAAGTGCTATGAGCTCGTTTACTGCTTGAAGGGGTAGCTTAGAGTGTTTATGTAAATTCTGTTCCAATATTTCTACTGTTTCCTGGATCGGGACATTTGTGTACAAGTTCACTATATCAAAAGATGCTAGTTTCATATTGCTTTTTATTGGTTGTGCCTTAATATTGTTTACTAATTCTATACTATTTTTAATGCTATGGTTGTTTTCCAACACGATCTCGTTCCTGATTATTTTGTCCAGTTTTTTTGCAATTTTGTAGGCGGGCGATGGTATGAAATTTACAAGGGGTCTGATTGGTACATCTGGCTTATGGATTTTCGGAAGTCCTCTAAGAATGGGTGCTTGGGGGTTGGTTACTTTCAGGGACAATATTTCATTAGCTGATAATAAATGTTTACTGTTAGAGATGGCTTTGTTTATTTCCTTGGAATTTTTGGCTGTGGGGTCCTTATCTAAGAGCTCTATTACATTGGTTTTATTCATAAAGTCTTTTACTTTGTTTACATATCTGTCGTGATACATTATTACTATGGAGTTGCCTTTATCGGCCTTAGTTATCAGGGCATTATTTTCAGCAAGTTTGTTCTTTATGCTTGTCATAATATAATACCTAACTAATAATAAAAGTAATAAACATAATACCTAACTACGTAAGAGTCAAAGTTAACAGTAAGTCTAGAGCAGCACTTAAAGCCAAAAAGTTGGCTGAACATAATTGGATTAAAAATGAAATTAAAAGTCTCTATTTCAAGAAAAATGTCCTTAACAAGTTAATGCTCAAGAAACATTTAGAGCTTTTAAACAGTATTCACGCTTCACAACAAAACAATGTTTTCAATGAAATCGAACAGCAGGTCTTAAGGAAAATTCTGGTAAAAAGAAAAACACAAAATAAAAAGATTCGTAACCTAATTGAAAGACAGCATACCAAAGAATTCATAAAATGTTCACACACATTTTTTCAGAGAGTAGTAAACCAAACAAAAATCGAATTTAATGATGATGAAGTTGCCTTGCTAAATAAAGGATTGAATTTCAATTTACCAAACAATAAAAAGTCAAGCCTAGTTCATGAACTATTAGACATTGAGTCATCCATTAAAAGTATAAAATATGACGAAGTAAGAGATTCCACCCGCATTTTAATAGGAAACAGAGCAAAACACATTCTTAGAAATAAATCAAACACACGGAAACAGCACTTAAAATTCAGACCCGTGCAACGTACCTTGACAAGCATAAAGAACAAACTTGCTGAAAATAATGCCCTGATAACTAAGGCCGATAAAGGCAACTCCATAGTAATAATGTATCACGACAGATATGTAAACAAAGTAAAAGACTTTATGAATAAAACCAATGTAATAGAGCTCTTAGATAAGGACCCCACAGCCAAAAATTCCAAGGAAATAAACAAAGCCATCTCTAACAGTAAACATTTATTATCAGCTAATGAAATATTGTCCCTGAAAGTAACCAACCCCCAAGCACCCATTCTTAGAGGACTTCCGAAAATCCATAAGCCAGATGTACCAATCAGACCCCTTGTAAATTTCATACCATCGCCCGCCTACAAAATTGCAAAAAAACTGGACAAAATAATCAGGAACGAGATCGTGTTGGAAAACAACCATAGCATTAAAAATAGTATAGAATTAGTAAACAATATTAAGGCACAACCAATAAAAAGCAATATGAAACTAGCATCTTTTGATATAGTGAACTTGTACACAAATGTCCCGATCCAGGAAACAGTAGAAATATTGGAACAGAATTTACATAAACACTCTAAGCTACCCCTTCAAGCAGTAAACGAGCTCATAGCACTTATAAGAATAGTGTTGAAACAGAATTATTTTAAATTTGAAAATAACTTTTACAACCAGAAAGATGGGCTAGCAATGGGTTCTCCACTATCTAGTATTATGGCCGAGATATTCCTCAACCACATCGAAAACAAACATTTGTTTACCTCAGATAATCGTTACAAAGATAAGATAATCTTTTATTACAGATACGTGGACGACACCATAGTTCTGTTTAATGGTAACAACAGACAGCTCTCTCTGCTAAACAATTACTTGTGTAACATGCATAAAAATATTAAATTCACATTAGAAGAGGAGGCCAACAATAGCCTGAATTTTTTGGACTTGACAATAACGAAGAAAAATGACAATTTCACATTCAAAATATATCGGAAACCAACTAGTACAGATCAGACCATCCACGCAGATTCCCATCATCCATACTCTCAAAAATTAGCAGCTTACAACAGTTTTGTCCATAGACTCCTCTCCATACCAATGAACACAATAGATTATACCGAAGAAATCAATACAATCAAACATATAGCTGTTTCCAATGGTTTCCAAAGCAACCTGATTGATAAACTGATTTCCAAGCATAAAAATAAAAAACCCGAAAATAAAGAAAAGAAAACCTATGTTTCTGCGAAGTATGGTTCGTTTCTCAGCACTAAATTTAAAAATATAATGAACAGCAATAAAATCACAGTTTCGTTCAAAACTGATAATAAACTAGGTTCTTTATTAAAAAATCGTCCCCAGACACCTACTGCAACCTTTGAGAAAACAGGAGTTTACCAAATCAATTGTAATGACTGCCCAAAATATTATATAGGCCAAACATCCCGTTCTTTCAACAAAAGGTTTAAAGAACATCTACCGAAAAGAACTACAGCGGCACAGACCTCGACCTTCGCAGAACATCTGATTTCTCACAACCACAATTACACTAATATTGATAATAACATGAAAATCCTACACCTCCCAAATGACCGATTTAATACAAACACCTTGGAAGAATTCGAAATATATAGGGCCGTTAAATTTGACAGCCAAAACATCATCAATGACAAGATTTCATTTCAATCAAATTACATTTACGACACTGCAATCAAGATACTAGCGCAAGGGACAGCTGTGAATGAAGTTATCAGCTGATCGGGAAATCCAGGCACGACGTCATCACTGACCACGCTGATCCTGACCGGCAGTCTAGACATAACCCCCGCCCGATCACGTCGTGTCCCGTTACCGTATTGTATCATCTTTCGTTTTTAGGCCTAAATGTTTGTTTTTATGTTCGTGTACGTGTGCGTGTTAAATGTATTTATTTATCATGAATTGACGACCTTCAAATGAAGCGAGAAGACATCTGTACTGGCCCGACGATGACTCCTTTGTGAGTCGAAACCGGTTGCAATTTAGCAACTAATTGATCACATGAATGCAGGTATTTACACCATTATTTAGTATGATATTTATATTATATTTATTTTGATATGATATTCATTTCAACGCTGAGGAGCAGCACGGGTCCTCTATAGTACCCTTGAATTTATACTACTTCTAATCACATGTTATTGCACACTTTGATAAAAATTCAACCTTGATAACAAGCAGTGGCGTAAATAACACCCCCGCAGTGTGCCAATTAAGCCATTCGTCCCAATCTGGTAATAGTACTTACTTTAAAAGACTTTCCAAAGGAGTATTTTTCGGACATATGGTCTGAAGGGAGGTCCAACTCATTTCTATGTACCACCTGAACAATCTTAGAGTGTCCTTTAATTGTTGTTCCCTGTGGTTTTCAATAAGTTTTCGCATCTTAGGTGTAGTGCTGTTTTTCTTGCTACCACCTTGATAATGATGTCGATGGGTAGCATGTCAAGCAGACAATCAAGGGCTGCTCTAGGACAGCTGCTTACTGCCTCAGTAATCATAAGACCAGCAAGTCTGTGAACTCCTGCTAAAGCTTTGACCTCTACAGTAAATTCCATCTTGGGCCACCACAAAAGTGAACCATGTCAAGGTCCCAAATTGCACAACAGATGCAGGAGTCTGGGCTGTAACCCCCATGTTCCGCCTACCAGTCGTCTGCATGCCATTAGGGACCACTTACCACGGTCAATGACTCTTTGAAGATGTGGTCCCCAGTGAAGTGATCTGTCCAAAATTACACCTAGATACTTCACCTGATTCTCGCAGCTAAATTTCGGTCCCCTTCAGTATTAGCGGTTTTCTTCTTCTTGTGAAGGGTACTATTACAAATTTTCTGGGATTAATGGAGAGCCCAACTTCAAGACACCAACGGTCAACCACCTTTAAAGCTCTGTTCATGATATCAGTTATGGTTCCGTGGAACTTTTCAACCACAAGCATTGCAACCTCATCAGCATAGCTTTATCAAAAGGCCTTATGACTTAAAATAAAAAAGAGATACTCCCTTATGCTAATAACAGGTTTAAATTCACACAGGAGTCAGTAGCAGCAAAACAACGGGATGTGTATATAAAAGCTCTGAATAAAATAGGAAAGGAATGGGGTAAAAATAAAAGAGTTGCCAACAAAATGTTGCTACCATACACATTATGCATATGTGATATATACTGAGAGTGACTTTGTTTACTAATTATGCTTTCTCTCACGTTTTGTTTTAACTGGCTTTTCAGGCATTCCCACAACAACAGCAAGATGAGGCTGTATGGGCTAGTTCACAGCTGATTACGTCCAATGTTCCTGAAAGAAGGTAAAAATATCTTCCATTCTTGTTGAAGTAATTTAAGCGATTTCCCTAGGGAAGAAGTTATTACCTTAGGTAGCACAGCAAGATCTAGACCCGGGACCGATTTACTTGTTTCATTTTGTTGTTAACAGGCCAAAAACGCTTAGTTAAAATTTTCATATATGTGTGTGGGTCTGTAAACACAATGACTCATCTAATTTTGGTTCGATTTTAGTGAAATTCGGCCTGAAAATGTGGAGCTGAATCCACTTGAATGAGTTCGTAAACCAGTAAGATCAGGTCATTAAAACGCGGTGTTATGGTAGTTTCAATTTTCCAAAAATAGTTTTTTTAGTAATAACATTAAAATGCCCAATTTTCATTAAAACCGTCGTTTAGATTTAAAAACACAGGAGCGTTTTTTGTAGGATAAAGGTTAATGAGAAAATTCCATAAAACTCTACATTGAAAATTCCCATGTTGTTCATATGGAGGAAACGTAAACAGTTATAGTTTCCTTGTTTATGGACGTATTTTTTATTAAATTTGGCAAATTTATTTATTACATACTATAGGCCTAATAATAGTTTACCAAAAACATTTTTCCTTCCCTGTAGCAGCAAACTAAAGTAGGCTCACTTAAATCTAATGCTATTTAAATAGAGAATAACTTACTTCTCTGTGTTAGACCTAACAGTCTAATGCTCCGACAGCACTGTTCAACCAAAAGTCCAAGCATAGTAGTCATAATATTAATTGACTCCCAAGTTGCGGCACATAACCCCCCATATCTTTAAGTATGACTGTTTTAAAGATTTTGATGTCTTGATTGACCTGGTTATTTTTATTTTTACTGAAAGAAATAAACTTTTTCCAGCTCAGAGTCAGATCCGTGGAGGTCTGACATCAGTAGTCGCAGACGACAGTTCCTCTCCAGCAGGAGCTCCGCCAGTGACGAGGCCGTCATGTTAGAGTTCCCCTCGGCAGTGACGGCCCCCTTGGCGAGGCTAGACTCCCTCCAGGAGCTGGTGAGATAACCATAAACTACACAACACATCATGGACCAACATAAAACATGATTGAGCACCATCAACAAACATTTCTAGATTTAATATTTAAGCTGCGTTGACTACCACATTTTGGCTTTAATACACCACGGACCACCATACATTTTTATTTTACACCACAAATATACACTGTAGTCAATAAACTACAGTATGGTTTCCACAGCATATACAGTGTGATACATCAAATACCATCATCAGCACACTCAACTGGTCATTAAACATACTCAAACATATTCTTCAGATTTTACAGTTAGATCCTTCTGCAGCATCTAAAGTCAATGAATAAACATTTAAAATTATATTTTTCAGGATGGCCGTAGCACAAGAGTGAGTTCTTCATCTTCTGGCAACCTACAGGATTCAAAATCATCTCAAGTTTAGTGCGAGGAGTAGACCAGCTTGATTAGTACAGGACATTTTCACATATGCTCGGTTCATGGGAAATATGAGAACCAAACAGGAATATGTGCTTATTCTTGTCTCAGTTGGCTTTGTTAGTCATTATTTACTTCCTTTTTCTGTTCAGTTTCTTCTTTTTCACTAGTCATGATCCTAATGGTTTGAAAATATTTTATACCGGTTTTTTTTTTACTTATGACCAACGATTGTGCCTTCACATGGGTTGCTACCATGCTAAAAGTTCTATATTGTATAAGCTGGCGCTATTATCCGTTTGGTGGCAATTGGCAATGTTCAACACTTATGCTAGAGTTACACGTGAAAATGGTGATGTGTAATATTTTGCAGTTTTAGTCCATATGTTTACTTTTGTTACTGTAGGTACGGGAAGTTATAGTCAAGTTGTAAAGTAAAAGTTTAGAAAAGCACACTGTTTTGTGTTGTTTAGTTGGAATACTGGAGTATGACAAAAAATTAGTGCTGCAAAAAAGAAATTAGTGCGGCAAAAGTAAGTAAATGCAGCAATTAGCTACTTTGCGTGCTTTAATCACTTATCAGTCCAAGGAAGCCCCACTGTAGAAAAACGTTTAATTTAATTGCTCAATAGCAATAATTGTATATTTTTTAGCTATACAAAAGCAGAGTATTGTTATAAAATTATAATTATTTAGCCTATTTGTTAAAAAAAAAACTAAATGAAATCTTATGCTTTTAAACTTTGTATTATATTCTCCCTAATAATCAACTTAATCATACATTGAAACCAAAAAGATTTAATCAATTTTAAAACAACTACCTATTCAAAAAATATAAAATTATAAAAATATTTCACATCACTATTTTACTTTGCAGGCATATATTTCTCATGAACAGTTGTATATTTTTTGTACAATCCACAATACCTAACGATAATAAAGTATATAAAAATACTTTTAGACAGCTTTTCATAAACTTGTATATAAGAAAAATATTGTGACCCTTGCTACAACGATATGAGAACGCTTTCATTTTCACTATTGCATCAACGTGACTGTTCTTTTGCTATCCTATAACTGCATTTCCAGGAAAGGTGAGCTGACTGTAGCAGTCAGATGTATCTGAAAGGGTGTTTTAGCCAACCTCACTCGTTTATAGTTTATGAAACTTAGTATGGATTTTATCACAAACTCATCACTTCATGATTGGTTGTCTTATTGCATCACTCTATTCACTTGGACCATGTATCTTCTGTACTAAAAAAAGGATCTTATCCAAAAGTGTCAAGGAAATGTTTGTTTTGTCCCTACCACGACAATGCTTCACAATCCATTGAATTTACTGAAGTTGACATTTGACTGATTGAATTTTATTCCACAAGCTCAGTTTTGTTACTACTATGGTCAATCCAACAATGTGAATGGTTTATTTATACCAAAGACATAAAAGAGGAGTTTGGGCTCATATCTCTTGCATTTACGCCAGCTAACCATATTCAAAAGATCTAGTTTCTTCTCGTGTTTATCTTTAAGGAGTCTACTGGGAAGTAAAATCTCCAAAACATTGAATACTCCGGTATTATTCTAAAACAGTATTTTAAGTTTATTATCATAGATCAAATGTGTCTCACAGTCTATTTGGATCAGTCGCCACTGTTTGTATTGTAAACCAAATTATTGATCGCAATTTTTAACATTTATTTAACTTTAACCTGTGCTAGTCAAATCATTTAAGAGAACACATTCAATTGTGTATACTACACACCAAATTGTTAAGCATTGGAAGCAATTTATAGATAGTAGGGATAGTCAAGTCTCGAAATTTCGGGAAATTTTCGGGAAATTTTAAATCTCGTTACACGAGACGAGATTTCTTTTTGGCCGAGATTTTTACCGAGACGGGAATAAAAAAAAAAAATTAAAAACGCCTGCAGAAAGTCAATGCAATACCCGCAATACAGGAGCGTGTTGTAGTTGCGTTTCCTTTGTGAAGGCGTTCTTATTTAATTAATTCTTTAAATGTAAATATTACTTTAATTATTTTAATAATATTACTTTAATAACATTTGAGAAGTTTTGTAAAGTTTAAGCAGTGTGAGAAATGTTTTATTACTATAAAAAGTCAAAACAAGTAACTATTTTATAAAAATTAATATTGCTTTTATTTTATGATTTATTTTATTTTAGGATAAGTTGAACTCTATCCTAACTGATATCTACTATGTTTCCTCATCGTAGGCATTTTTAATAAGTTAGGCGTGATTAATAAAAAAATGTTATGCTGATGTTTTTTAATAAAAGATTGTAAATATTCTTGCCTATTATCATTATTTTTGTATTTAAACAGTCATCTAACAATTTTACAAAATCAGGTAAAAATTTTGAACGTGCATTTCCCGTTGTGTATGAGAAGGGAAATCCCGTCTCGATCTCGTCTCGAAATTTTATGAGAAATAAAAAATTTCGTCTCGTCTTGTCTAGAACTAAAAATCCAATCTCGTCCATCCCTAATAGATAGCTTTAAAAAAATAGGGGACAAGAAGTATATGAGTTTTTGCTCGGTTGTTTTAATTATGTTCTTATGTTCTTGTCACTAAGGTGGGCGATTTCAATACTTAAAATATTATATCTCCACGGTAATAATTTCTCTTCTACTTGATCTGTGAAAAATACTATCCACACACACACACACACACACACACACACACACACACACACGAGTTAATTAATATGAGAAGAAACTTACTGTACAGGTACCATGAAAAATATTTAATTTAGAAACAACGGGTTTCTTTTTCTTGATATTTTTGTTATAACATGAATTGACTTTTAAAGTAAATCTTATTTCAAAACTTTTAAACAAGGTATTAGACAATCACGTTAATATAAATGAATACATATTATCTATTATATTATTTTGTTTAAAGTGTTAACAACATATTATTACAATGAGGGTAATACAATAGTATCGATTAAACTGAATTTATATTGGTTTAAATTAAAGAACTCTGAAATCTGTTTACAAAGTTATGATGGTGCTATTCAAACAGTTATTACAGTTTTTTTGTGATCAACTCAAGACTTATACTATTATTATATTATTAACTGCATCTGACAAAATTGTATGTTTTCTTTAAGTAACCTAAAATTAATAAAATTCTCTTCCAAACCTAGGCCCAGACCTGTTCATAATCATTTGTTTTTTTTCTCTATAGGTTCAACTAAATCCTTAATAAAGTATAAATGGCCTTTATTAATTGAATAACTAGATTTAATTATAAAATTAATTGTAGATAGAAAATCAAAAAATATTTTTGAAATTTAAATTCACTTAGTGTTTGGTGGCAAGAACATTGATGAATCAATAGGAGTATTTTGGTTGAAAAGTGTATAATGGAAGTTTTGTAAAACAATGCACTTCATTTTAGATAAGCCCTCTTCTTCCTTACATATTGAAACAACTTCATAACTCTAGAACTGTATAAACAAATTTGGCATAGTATGTTGATCTGGGCCTGTGATAATAGTTTCTGAATTTAAATGTATTGAAGGAACGTTACCTAATATTATGGACAAGGATTTAGAAACAAAGCTTAACAATCTGTTAGAGAAATTATATTACCGTATGCAAATAGGAGGAAAATAGTGATTTTACAATAACTATAAAAGTGTATGTTAATAATTTGTGTTATATAACATGTTATGTTACATCTAGTTTAGCTTAGTTATTCATTAATTCATTGTTTAAGACAATGTAGACAAATACCATTACTCTTGTGTTTCAATATGGCAAATAATATTTTATAATTCTACTAAATATAAGAGCTGAGGTTGTGTTTGGTATGATAGTTTCAAAGACTAGACAAGGCTATGTTTTAGATAGGGTGCACTTCTTTGCACAAAATATTTACATATCATTTTCATTTTGATGGTCCCATAGTTGTAATTGGTTGTTATTTTGATTGTTAGTTTGGTTCTTTATAATTCCATGTAATTTATAACTTTACTTCTTAGGTATTAAATACTGTCCAAATGCTTTTGTTTAGTGTTAGAGAATTGTGGGTGAGGATCTACTAGTCTACGAGGACGTTAAAATGTTTTTACCGATTTTTATTGTAATTAAAAGTTATTTTATGTAAATAAATGTAACAACCACCTTTTAACATTTAAAAGTGGTTTAAAGATGTGATATTAAGTATATCTCGAGTTATTGATTTACTTTGAGCTATTTGATTATGTTACTCTTTACTTTACAATGATTTCACAAGTTGTAACACTCAACAGTCACATGTCATGTTTAAAAAATTTTTATCAATCATTTTCATCTAAACACAAATTTCTTCATCTATTCTTATGTAAGGACGAGTGCGATATTTTTCAGCAATTCCACGCTAGAGGCAAATACAGCTACAACAAAAATTGCTTCATAGATTTAGACACTAGCATAGGTTTTATAAAGTTACAATTAGGATGTAAAGTAATAATCGCAACATCATGAGTTTAGCATTCGTTCGTCAAGCCTTATTTTAATTTTTATACAGAGTTTGCAGATGTAAAGCGTTTTTTATGGAATGTATAGTGTCTGAATTTTCCACACACTGACAAAGTAACTGACTTTTAAATCCGTGCAGAACAATTCGCTAACATTTCTGTCACATTACAGTGTTGGTGCTTTACCTTTTTATAAAATATGGTGTCTTATCAAGTAAAAAGACTTAGAGTAATCAATTGTTTCATGTAGTTTGTATTTATCTTGTTTTACTTCTTCACATACACCTTTATCCTCTCACTCAACGTTTGTTCCCAAATCGGGGTTTTCCAATTTATTGCTGTCAGATGAGTAGCAAAAGTTTTCTTTTACACTGTTAATATCGACTGCCTCTTGCCAATAGTATTTTATTTTCAATTTACACAGTAAGTTATTGCTTGCAAACAATTTTCTGGGCCATTTAAGCGGTTGGCAATTATGTTATTGTGTACAATATACAGCTGTTATTATAATCTCCATAAAACTTAACCAACAAAACGTGTATTCAAGAATGGTCCTAAAACTTAAATTACTATTTGAATTTAAGGCCTAATATTTTTATCAGACTTGAGATTTATGAATTGTTGTAGTTCCATTTTTTCTTTCTGTTAAATTTATTGACACTAAAAATAGCAAAGTTATTCACTACCTAGGTTTTTAACAATTACCTAGATCATCCCAAGCTTGAGGCATGTCTTTGTAATGTGCCTTCAGTGTAAAAACATTTTCTGAAATATGTATAAATAATCCAGATGTAACTTTTTGTTGCTAGAAGTTATATCAAGTTTTGATATATATTTCTGCATTTGGCTGGCTAATTTGACAGTAATAACATGGATGATTTGTAAGTTTTACATATTTAATATTTGTAAGGATTTATCTCACATTCTAATGTTGTGTTACAGAATACTGTAGTATACTCTCAGCTTGTTGAAAGTATTACCAATTTTTTTTTACGTCAGGTTGATAAGACACTTTTTGCCCGTGTGATGAACTATTTTTTATGTCATATTACATCATTAATTAACAAACTAAGCTAGGAAACAATAGCAATATATATTTCAATATATATTGCTACAATATATATTTCATAACAAGAGTAGAAAGTGAGTCATTATTTGAGACCATGTTTGATGTTCCAGGAGCATTGAGAATATTGGGAAAACAACCAAATTGTCAAATAATTCATCAACTTTCATCAGAGAGTTGATAAAAAACATTAAATGAAATTAGTTGTGTTGAAATACCCACCACAGTGGGCTTGTGCTTGACTCAGCGTAACAATAATATACATTTCTTGATATAGCACCATTAAGTTTGAGGTACCTAGCCTAGTAACATATTTCTCTGAAATTCTAAAGTGTCTTTTAATCTATAAAATTAGATGCTCTTCTTTTAAAAATTAGAATGTGAAATAAATTCTCATTATAATAATTGTTATTGTTTTGCTATCAACCTGTATGTTCATTTGTTTAGACTTACTGTAGACTACTATAATGAACCAGTTTTATATACATACTATGTAATTACAGGTTTTACAAAGCCTTGTACATATTATGTTTGTATAAAGATTTAGTTACTGTTTATTTTAATGAGAAACAAAATCTTATGTAAATTTGAACAATTTGCTATTGTATTGATAAACATTGTTACCGCTTGTATATACTTGTTTTTTTTCTAATTATGTACTTATTTCATTTTGATTACACGTTTGATCACTCAGCCAGGAAAGTGTTTTATTTTATCACCAATATTTACATGTAATTGAGCTTAGAGTGGTTAAATTTTACGGATTAACTTTACTCTAGGACAATGTGTTTCTTTGTACCATCTTTCCAGGACAAGCAGCTTACAAATAACATAGATCTCTATTACTACAACTGATTGGATCACTTGCTGTAGTCCTCAGATCTAAGTCTGACCATCGAACCATGCCTCAAACAAAAAAGTAAATTTGTCCCGAGTCTAGGTCTTACCATGAGACCTACGGTAATAGCTTATTCCCTATATTGGAAATTTGCTAAAATACACAAATACCATTAGCTGCCTCCAAACAAAGCAGCTGTTACATTACAAAACTACTTGCGACGTTGCCACTTCGAAAGCCGCGGCCGTATGTAATTAAAGGCTCCTTTCCTTTTCTTTCGACGGTGGGCATACCGCATGTTTGTGCGGCGGCCATGGCATTGGTGGGGGTATCAGGGCTACCAACTTAGGAATTTCTATATTTACTTCAATCGTAGTAGGATCCGTCATTTTACATACACAAAAATCGCAAACTGATGCTCAGAGCCAGAAAATAAAAACAAAATCACCAACCACATCAGCAACAGAAAGTGAAAATGGGGGACTGAAGAAGGCAAGACATTACCGTGTTGGGCTGAGTTTGTTTTGACATGTTTTGATCAGTTGGTAGCACTTGACATTGCTGTTTTTCCAGGTGCACATTTTATGACTAACACAGTGTTGACATTTTTTCGTAGCCATATCGACCAATCGATTGTCAACCGACCGAACAGATCGTTTTCAATAACCAAACCAGTCAACCAGTGATTGCCGTCGACGACAACCAACCATCGGTCCATCCATCAACCGTTTTCTGCTGATGTCCCACCAAGCAAGAGCAAAGCCAAAGCCAATCCTCGACTCCTAAATTGCACTCCTATCATAAAAAATATTTCTTGGGCTAGCCTAAGTTATTGTTAGCACATCCAAAATATATGACTTATGCTTCTGAATTGTTATGTGTGTTCACTTTGCTGTTGGGTGGGATTGTTCAGTTAGTTATGAATTAGTTAATCCACGATGAACTAATTTTAAGTCGATCCATGAGGTAACTATTATTGAGTGTTACTATAGCAATAATTTGTGATGATCAATTTAATATTTTTATTTTCTAATAGCACAGAGATTAAAAAAATAAATCAATAGGTCTAGAGTAAATTAAAAACAAAATAAGAAATACTCATTAAAGTTTATCTACACAATTTATTATACACAAAAACAGTATGCATATATCTATTCTAAACATACTTGTAAACAACATCCTTTCTATCACTCACAGTCTGCAGTTCTAGTTTTATAGGACACTGCAGCCAATAGCTCAAAAGCTCTTCTGTGTAACCGATAAGAAAATACATTTTTCTAGGAGGTAAAGATCTACTAATAATTCCAGCTACTCGTATCATGTTGTGTTGTCGTTTTATGATTATTTCCGAGAGGAACAAGTTGTGCCAAGTCCCAGTCACGAATCGGCGAATGAAAACATCTTCAACAGCTGTCTCAGCAGGTCTTAAACCTCCAACAAGGTTAGCTGAAACAATAGTCTGTTAAATTATTTAATTTAATTATTTTATACCCCTGATGCAGCAAACCTGTAGACTAAGCGAATTTCCATTTATGTGGCTACATTTTCACAAAAATATTCATTTAAAGTTGTCAGATTTATATCCTGTTTATAAGAATAATTAAAATAACTTCTTGATCAGCATCGTACGTATTATTAAATTACCTGAAAGCACAAAAATATGTCAAATAACATTTATAGTAATACAGTATATTTACACTTCTGTTTACTCACAAGACTGTATTTAAATACATATTAAAGATGGGAAGTGGTGATCGCTTTTTATTGGACACTGAAATCATCATCAGACCCAATAGGGGCCACTGTATAACATTGAAATGATAATAAACGTGAAATGATACATTTTACAAAATATTTAAAAAACTGTTATTTGAGGTAAAAACTTTATTTTTAAGCACATAACACCTCGAAAATCCATCTTTGGGTTACATTGTTTGCCTGGTTTTCATATTCGAGGTTGGAAATACAGTTTTACATGGGGTGGAAATCTGTCAATCCTGAACTAAAAATCACTGAAATTACAGTCACATGTAAAAAGGCCATTTTGGAAAAAACCGACTTCTGGTTGTCTGATTTCAGAAGACTTTTTTTCTGGCACTTACTACACATCATGTTACTACCAAAAACAGTTGAAAACCTTTTGTTAAAATTTGTTCAGACTTGGATGTTTTTTGGACAAAATCTTTGTCTAATAAGAAAGTAAAGATTATTTATTTGTATTTAAAAAAAATAGCACAAGAATTATTAATTTACATGTTTTTTTTTATTTTTCTAAATGTCACTAACATTCAACAACGCTTCAATAAACATAGTTATTTCTTTTTTCAAGTTCTTCAAAATGGTTTGGAAAGAAATTGCAAAATTTTAAATTTTTAGGATCAAAAATGGGGAAAAAAGAATTTTTACCCCATACCAAAGCCCTATCATGCTGGTTTGCAAACTGTGTTCAAATAAATGTAGGTTTATACAATTATACCAAATTTCATTAAAATGATTTTTGCTTGAGTTATCTACTGTCACTATATGTATAGGCTAGGCTATATATTTATTTATACACGGTATAATATACTAGTGGTCGTCCAGTGGTGGAAAACTCGGCCAAAAATATGTAATGTACAGGCTTCTATCTTTTCACCCCACGCTGTAAATAAAACATATGGTTGAATCTAAGAAGAACTGCAAAGATTTCTAGGATTCGTGAATTATTTGGGAAAATTTGTTCCTAAACTCTCTGCTCAGATGTATCAGCACCATTACGATCACTTTTGAAGGAAGGTAATTTGTGGATATGGGAAAAAACTCCCCACTGATTGATTAAACATTTAATCTGATGAAATATTTAAAAAGCTAGTCCATTTGGTTAACATCATCTCCAACCTTAAAATACTTTTATATAGAAAAGCCAGCAACTGTGCAGTGTGATGCTAGCCAATTTGGATTGGGAGCTTCCCTGGTGCAAGATGGTAAGCCAGTGGCATACATTTCCAGGACTCTTAGTAAGGCAGAATCGTCATATGCACAAATTGAAAAAGAATGCTTGGCAGTAGTTTATGCTCTTGAACGATTTGAACAATGCTCTTGTTATTAGAACGATTTGTTTGGAAAACATGATATAACAGTTGAAACTGATCATAAGCCATTAGAGACCATCTTCAAAAAACCATTGAATTCGGCCCCAAATGGGTTGCAGAGAATGCTTCTCAGACTACAAAGAATTAATTTCAATATAATATATAGACCAGGAAGAACAATGTTCATCGCAGACTTTTTGTCTCGAACACCCATTACAGGAGATAAATCACGCCCCTCATGGCTCAAAGTTTTCACGATTTTGCTAGAATTGGAATTTCAAGATAGTTCTATCCCCGCCGTACCATCACCAAGCAAACGGTAAAGCAGAGTCGGCAGTAAAAACATTCAAGAATCTTTTGAAGAAATCGCGTCAAGATGGAGTGGACTTCCAAAAAGTGTTATTAGAACTTAGGAACACCCCATTGCAAGGAATTGGCTTTAGCCCCGCTCAACTCCTCATGAACCGAAGAACACAAAGAAAACTGTCAATAAATAAGTGCTTACTGAAGCCACAAGTTCCACAAAATGTTCAGAATCTATGGGAACATAAAAAGAGACAGTACAAAAGTCAGTATGACCATGGAACCACAGAGCTGCCTCCATTATCGATTGGCCAAAGCGTGTGATTAAAGAAACAACCCCAACTGAAGAATGCGACATGGCTTGAGGGTAAAGTTGTTCTAAAGGAAGGGAGGAGAAAGTACATTGTGCGCGTGGAAGGAAAAGATTACATTCGAAATAGACACTTTTTAAGAACTTAAAAACATTTTGGAAAAGGAAGATGTTGGTAATGTTTATATGTTAATTAACATATGTTCTTTATTTTTATTGTTATTGTTGTTTATTTATGTTTTGATTCAGTTATGTCTTGAATTGTCATGAAGATAGTTTTATGATATTACAATATTAAATTAGTTTGATGAAAATTGTGTTACTTTATATAAGTAAAGTTATCAACATGATCAATGATCAATAGCAAAGGACACAATAACAAGTCAGATGCTAAAATACAGAGCATTTTAAAATGTAAGAGACAAGAGAACGTAACTGAACTCCGAACTTTACTAGGCCTTGCGAATTATTACAACAAAAACATGGAATTTAATATTACAACAAATTCATAAAGAATCTGGCTACACTGCTACATCCTTTGGATCAGCTGCTACAAAAAAGAAACACTTTTAAATGGAGCTCTGCTTGTGAACAGAGTTTTCTGAAGATTAAGGAAATTATAACAAGTGACGACGTATTGGTGCACTTTGATCCTAGCTTGCCACTGGTCTTGGCTACTGATGCTTCGCCGGTAGGTGTGGGAGCCGTTATTTCGGGGGGAGGAAAAGACAGGCCAATTGCCTTCACCTTTCGATCTTTGTCAAAATCAGAACAAAAATACTCAAATCGATAAGGAAGCCTTGGGAATATATTGGGGACTGAAAAAGTTATTCCCGTTTTGTTATGGCCGCAAATGTACTTACTACTGATCACAGATCACAAACTGCTAGTGTCAATTTTTAATCCAGAAAAGACCTTACCAACAATCTCGGCAACACGGATATTCAACTATTCTCACTTTCTCTCCGGGTTCGACTATGACATAGAGTACAGGCAAACCGCTCATCATTGCAATGCCGATTATCTCTCACGTTTCCCTATCGAAGTTCGAACATTCTGTAGGTGACCTCTCGAAGTACTACATAAATCAACTGGAAACACTCAATATCAACAGTACCGTGGTAGCCAAGGAAACTCTTAACGATGCTGTTTTGGGTCCAGTCCTACAGGCCTTAAAATTGGGACAATCTGTTGAGCAATACGGATTTCACGATAACGAGCTGTCCATTCAAGATGATTGTGTACTGAAGGGCTGGAAAGTCATGATACCTCAATCTCTCAGACCTCATGTGCTTCGAGAACTACACGTAGCTCATTTAGGAGGAATAAAAATGAAGGCTTTAGCTCGCAGTTTTTGCTGGTGGAAAAGTATAGACAAGGATTTTGAAGAGATGGTAGCTGAATGTCGACAATGCATTGAAAATGCAACAACCCGAGAAAAACTATCCATCCATGGGAACAACCTTCTAATCCATGGGAGAGGGTGCACATCGATTTATTAGGACCAACAGATGGCCAACAGTACCTGATATTAGTGGATGCCTTAGTAAGTGGGTGGAGGTGATACAGACAAAAACAACTACATGGACAGTCCAAGAATTACGGAAAATCTTCTCAACTTTTGGGTTTCCTCACATCTTAGTTTAAGGTAATGGAAGACAGTTTGTTTCTCAAGAGTTCAAAAACTTCATGAATGAATGTGGGATTATTCACAGAACAACGGCACTATACCATCCAAACTCGAACGGCCAAACTGAAAGATATGCAGACTGTCAAGAAGGCATTAAAATCCATGGAGGGAGAAAAGGGTACACTGCAAAATAAAATCCAAAGACTTTTAATGCAACTCAGGCAATCCCCGAATTCAACTGGTACATCAGCATATCACCTAATGTTTGGAAGGAGTGTACGAACAAACCTCGCAATAATTGTTCCAACATTAGTACCGAAGAAGGGAGTCTAAGTCGGTATAAAAAGGAATTTCAAAGTTGGAGATAAAGTGCAAGCACGGGAATATGACAATGGTTCATCCAAGTGGTATTCGGGCTATATAACTAAAAAGCAAGGACATGTAATGTACGTAGTTCAGCTATAAGATGGACGAATAATAAGAAGACATGTTGACCAGCTGATTCTTCGTAAAGTGCCGCAGCACAGTAAATAGAGGAGGAGGTGTTAACATATGTTTTATCTACATTTTATTTTTAACATGTGTTCAAATTATTATTTTGTTTACTTGTTTAATTGTTTATGTTCACTTACAGATTGTGATTTAATAAAAACTTACTTTCTATTTTCTTATACAAAATGTGAACTTTTATTAGTAAAATTAGTGGAATCAACAATTTATTGTATATAAATGTACAATTTGTTGATTAAAAACGGTTTTAATACATTTTTGAATTATTATAAGTACAAAAAACAGTGTTTGTCTAATGTTTTAACACCCGGAAATTACTCTGTGTGTCACCGATCAAGTTTAAAATCAAAGACACCAACAAAGGTTTAAGTTACCCCGAATAAGGACATATAAGTTACCCCAAAATCCTAAACATAATTCGCGATCGCGGCAAAATCCTTTCTTCCATAACTTGGCCACTGATTTTATTGATAAAATGTGTTCAGTTGAATTTAGATTTGAAGTCTAAAATTAAAAAATTAACCGAATACGGAATAATCAAGGTTCTACATATTGTAGGCTACTTCGTTTTGAAATTTATGAGACCCAATAGTTTGGTATTATATATTACTGCTACTAATATTATCTTCACCACAATCACAGACGCATAATGATCGTGTCCTGCGATGGCGACAAAATCCTAAACATATTTTGCGATCGCGGCAAAATCCTTTCTTCCATAACTTGGCCACTGATTTTATTGATAAAATGTGTTCAGTTAAATTTAGATTTGAGGTCTAAAATTAAAAAATTAACCGAATACGGAATAATCAAGGTTCTACATATTGTAAGCTACTTCGTTTTGAAATTTATGACCCAATAGTTTGGTATTAGAGCTATAAACTATAAGATTTTACTGCTACTAATGTTATCTTCACCACAATCACAGACGCATAATGATCGTGTCCTGCGATGGCAACAAAATCCTAAACATATTTTGCAATCGCGGCAAAATCCTTTCTTCCATAACTTGGCCACTGATTTTATTGATAAAATGTATTCAGTTAAATTTAGATTTGAGGTCTAAGAAAAACTGGCCATGTTAAATAAATTATAGCACTTCAAAAACTAAGTAAGGTCTCCCAAGCATGACCGTGTCCAAAGTTGAAACAGTTGTAGGTACTACTAATAAAGTTTAGCTGGTCCTGTGACATGGTCGGTCATATACAGAAAACCTAGTTAGCAGTGTACTGGTACTTACTATGAAGTACTGCTAATCTTAAGTTAAATAAATTTGTGCAAACTAACTGGCTGAATGTAATTTTTAAAGGAACTTACAGGTATTCCATGAATTCCATGACTTTGTGTGAGCTATTGATTCAGGCCGCATAGCCATTTCATACGTGAGTGGTTTGTCGCCCTTGGGACTTTTCTTGTATCGGCCTGCTTGTATCTTCTGACAAACTGCTGATGTGTGAAGAGCATTTTTGGCACATTCTGCATTCAATAACGGCATGGAATTTCCCTGCAATGGAGCAGTTTGGTAAACATACAATTAAACGTATTATAGACCTAAGTTCTACTGTACACAATCATGCAGGCCAAAAAATGTTGTTTTGGGCCTAGGTTAGGGATGAGAATCGATAGTTGATGTTTTTAAACATCAATGTTTTTGAAACATCGATGTTTTTTACATCGATTGTAGGTTAAAGATGATTTTGTTACATCGATGTTTTCACCGAATATGGATGTTTTGGGCCAAGAATTGAAATATCGATGTTTTCCATGGCTGAATTGTATTTGTTTTGCGGTCATTCGCCTAGAAATTGAATTTTTTGCATTTGTTCCAGTAGCGACTGGTGTTCATAGGTGGTGGGAGGGCTGTATATTTTTATAAATAAACAAAAGCCTAATTTTGTAAAAGAATTGAAAAAATTTAGGCTTAAATTATTAAAAACACACATAGCCTACAATATATTATATATTTATTAAACTTGTTTCATAGGCTGCTATTGTATTTAACTTAATAACAATGTCTGCAACTGGATCTGTTCTGAAAATAAAATTAGGCCTAACAAAATAATGACAATGTTCCATAAACTATCTAAGGTAATAAGAAATAGAAAGCCTAATAAGTAAAACAGCTTACAAAAACAAATTGCATTTAAAATTATACCGGTACCTAACCTAAAAACCTATTGTACTTCAATAATATTAATTAACCAGAAATGCAGGGCCTACCTTTAACTAAACTGGATGAAAACAACAAATTTTTCAAGTGCTTTTCCTGAAAACGTCCTTTCAAAATTTGTAATCCCATACATACTAAAGCATTGGAATGACCTCATGGCACCCTCATGTTCGGCTGTTCTGCCATAAGACTACATGTATTGGGATTAGGACGGTCTAGCCGCTGTCCGCGCCGTCCTTACTAAGCAAGCAACCATCAAAAATAAGTCTTTACTGAATCAAATTATCAAATTACCTATTTGATATATTTATGTTGTATATTGTTTTAAGTACTCGTTAAAGAAATTTTAATATTAAAATGTAGCCTAATTTATTTAAATGTATTGTTGGGGAGGCGGCGTCCGAGAGTCCTGATGGGCTAGTCGCCACTGATTCTATTAAAAGGTTGATGAAATATCGAATCCTAAAACATCACGAACTGGGACTCATTTCATAACAATACTAATATTATTAATAAAAAAATACAAGTTACTAACTATTAATTAAGTTAATAATATTAGTATTTAGAAACAAAACTATTTTTGTTAATAAAACTAGCTGATTTTTACAAGTAAAAAATTACAAATTATTAGTCAGTTGACTCTAAACCAATGTTTATAAAAAACTATCCTATGTCTAGTTAGAGAAAATTGAATTTGAGGAGAACCAGTTTCAGTTTAAATAGCCTAAACTTAATTATATATCCAAATAAGGTACACAAGAATCTAGAGTGTAGGAAGCTGGAGCTGGATCTTGGCATCAATCATGATTTTACAATTAAGTTCTGGCGGGTAGACTTTCATAAGTGGGACCAAAAACAACCGAATAAATATATCGGTTTATTTCATTCGGTTTATCAAGTCCCATTAAAAAAAACCCAAATTACCAGTAAAAATTCCTTTGTAAATAATGTTATTAATTTTTACTAATATTTCGCCCTTAACGTAGAAGGCAACGTAGAAGGCCTTAAATTTTCTACTCGTGTCGTTAACATTATTTACGCGGGTTAAGTACACTACTTTACCTACGACAGTGTTTTAATTACTTAAAATCACTACTCATAGCTTCTTAGAGGTTATGTTTTCATTTTATAACCTCTCATTGCCACTGACAGTGATCAACGAAACATTGTACAAAACACTAATTGCACCACTCAACAATTAAATTAACAGCTGATTAGTTTAAGTTCGAATCATTGTTATTTTACTTCTTCTCTCTCAATCCTTGAACCTCATTGGTCCGTTAACCGTGTTGTTATGAGTAAAACTATGCTGTTATGAGAAACTTTTAAATTCTAAAAACTAAGCTGGATCAGCTACTTTAAAAAACTGTCGTACTTAGGTAAAATAATAATTAATATTAAGTACTTAGTAAAGATTATGAAACAAAAGACTTGTAGAATTATGAAGATTTACTAATAGGCCTCTTTTGTAATTTACAACTTGTAACTTAGTATTTTTTTGTTATGAAACAGAATTTCAGTTTAACGAATTACAAGATTAATATTAAAAGAGTGAGTGAGATAACTATCATGTACAATTGAGAGGTGCTTTTTCTTAGTAAGTTACCTAATAAATCAATTAAAGTTATGTGTGATCAATTTCAGCGGCAGCACTCATGCTCTCCTTAGCATTTAAATTAATAAATGAATACACTACCAATAACTTATTTTGTCTTGCAAATGTGAAAGAGAAGAGAAACTGCCAACCTTAAACATCTAGCTAGCACTAAAGACTAACCAACACAAGGGTGTCGGTTAAATCAATGCTAGTAGATTAAGCTAACAAGTTAATTAAGTTAGTTGAGGCAGTAGGCCTACAGAGAGCAGGCGAAAAGCTGAAAAAACATCAATGTTTTTGCACCAGTACATCATCATCTGTGGGGCCAGCTAGTATTTAAATATATAACTCAAAATCGAAAATTCCCGACAAGAGGTCCCTATTCGCTTTCCACATCACAAATAGGCCTAATCTAACCTAACCTATTCTTGGTCATTTTGGGGCTATGTCGATTTACCGACGCTTTTCCGAGTTAGGCCCATTTTTTCATAAAAAAGGGTCGAGTCTGAAAAAACTAAGTTAAATAATAATAATCCCATAACTTAACGCTTACCAGATGTAACAAGCTGCTTCTTAACTTGAAAAGATTTAGTGCCATAGTATTTACAATAAAATAGGCTAAGTTATAAGGTGATATGTCGTTACACTTTAAAACACTCGTTTAGTTTCTGTGTTTATTGGTTGGTTAAAACTCTGCCTTAGCCTTTATATATAGACATAGATAAAACTTATGTTGGTTAGTCTTTATGTATTTTATTTATTTAATTTGTGAAGCTTGAAGGTTAGAGTGAAGTGTGAAAGTGAAAGTACTGAAAGTGAATCCCAATTCCCAATCCTGTCGTCGTCGTCAGTCTCTCTCTAATTTGGGTTTTTTTTCTTTCTAGCTCGCCATTAAAAAGCTGGTTTTATGCTACTACGCATGCAGCTCTACTAAACTGGTATACTCGCTCCATACTCGATATCGTTTATCGTCAATAATAAGTCATTAATTGGGCCAAACTGACAATAATTGCATTAGCCAAGTAAATACAAGAAAAAATAAAATTAGTACATCTTTTAAAAAACCTAAATTCCTTACTGAAAAAACTATATAACTAAATAAACTATACATGCGCACATGACTTTGTGAATGACCACTAAAGTAGGTATTCATGGACGCTGTAAAATGTTCTGTCTAACAACATGGACTTTAGACCTGTTCTAAACTTTTTTAGATCTTTTTCGGCCTTCAGTTGAGGTGGAAGACTATTGAATAGTTTTACGGAATTGTAATGAAAGTTTCTTTGAATTAAAGAAGTGGAATGCCGGGGAATTGGTAGATTTAACGACTAGGCTAAATTTCATCCAGACCGATTCCGCCGTACAGGAGTATGTGGACAGCATAAGCAGGAATGTGGTATAAGAGCTTCGCTCAATTATATAGTTAGAAATGAGAATGTCTTAAGTCCTGTTTAAGTCAATGCTTCACTTTATGATATAAGCCAAAGGTGTCAATACCGAAGTGTTTCACATTGTCTATAAAAAAAATCAATTCTAAAACTGATAATTTGATTTTTCAAAATCTCTTATTTACACCATCAAACTGACTGGCACCCTTTAGATCAATATTTTGGATTATCTATTGCGATTTCAAGATTTTGACCACATTGTTTTTAAGAAAAAAACTATTGTTATGGGATTAAAGCGGAACTTTAAATTTTTTTGTACTGCCAGTCCCGCCGCCCACATATTAGATACTTTTATCATTTCACGTCAATGGGGTCCGTTTCATAATAAACTACAAGTTACAAGCTTTAACTTGTAATTTGTAATTTCCATTAGATTTGCAATAGATGATCAGCTGATTTTCTTATAATATTAGTTTGAGAAGGGTCCAAACTCTAGGGGCCTATTTCATAACAATACTAATATTGTCACATTCATTCAGTAAAAGTAAAGAGTGCTATGTGTAGTAAGTTTAATACTACTACCTTTTCAAAATCATTGCTATGATTTGACAAATTTCTTTTACACTGTTGAAACGCATTCGCTGTACGGTCGCAATGAGGGGAGGACTCGTAGTAGGACGATGACGTCATTAATTAGTTCAAATTTGTTCCACGGGCAGCACTCTAGTCAGGCAGCCGACACCGTTATGACGTCATCAACTTTACTTTTTTTTAGGCTTGGCTTGATGTTTTGTTGATGTTGTTGATGTTGATGTTGATACATCGATCGGTGCAGCAGAAGACAAGAGTTGCAGTTGAGTATTTTTATTATTATTGCAAGATTTCTGTTACTACTGACACTTACTTGTTATTTGCTACTTATTTATCAGTTAGGCATTAGTTCATAGTTTGAATTGGCATTACTTACAACAGTATTATTATTGCAAGATTTCTGTTACTAGCCTAAGTTACTGACACTAACTTGTTATTTGCTACTTATTTATCAGTTAGGCATAGTGTTCATAGTTTGAATTGGCATTTGAAGGCATTACAACAGTAAGTTATTTAGAACTTTCAGCCTGAAGGTCTCATCACCTAAACGAGGTATTGCTGGAGCTGCCTGTTTTTTGCTGTCTTGTAATGCAGAGCCGATTCTAACAGTAGCGAAATTGTTAAAACTTTGTATTGTATTTTCGGAAATAAAGACAGTGCTTTATACAAACTGTCTTGAAGATAGGCAAATACTCGGTGGGACACACGGGAGGGACTAAGGCTAACATATCTTGTAGTGTCAGCGTTCACCGCTAGAACTGATAAGATGAAATAATTAATTTTTTTTTTAATTTTTAGTTATAAAATTAACTTTTTAATTATAAAATATTGTTTCAAATTATAAAATAAATTTTTAATTTTTAAGATTAAACTGTCATAACATAACCTAACCAACCAGACTTGCTGATAATATAAAAACTATATAAGATAAAAATCTAATTAATAATTACTTATAATGTTTAATTAAATATAAAATTTATTTTAAAATTTAGTATTATAAAATTAACTGTCATAGCCTAACCTAACCAACCAAACTTGCTGATATGAAAAATTTGTTGACAAAAAGTTAGTGCTGCCAGCAGGATTCGAACCCGGGACCTCCTGAACACCAATCCGAAACGCTACCAAATATGCCACGAACGCCGCTGAAATCACATCGTTTCGTTACGGTACTCGAGTCGCCTCAAGGGAAGACATTAGCCACTAGAGATATGACGTCACTACACCTTTAGCCTTAGTCCCTTCCGTGTGCCCATTCCGGCAAATACTTACTTAGGCCTATTAAGTTACAACTTAGGTTTTAATCGTAGGCCTAACTGACGGATGTGGTTCAGATTTTATGAAATGCAAGTGGCTCGTCAAATGTTCTTTTATAAAATAAATTACCAGGGCCTAAAATTAAGAGTAGGCTCCGCAAAATATATACACATTTAAATTGTTTCAGGTAACATATAGGGCACGAACACTTGTCGGTAAGTTAGCATACTTAAAACAGTTTGATCGCAAGGGATGGATGAAGGATGAATAAATTGTATGACTAAGCCGATAGCGAGTTTGATCCAGGAAGCTCTGCGGGTGTCAGTATAAACTGGCTGTAGAACGACAAAGTTACTGAAGTGGCTCATCCAACTATGTCTTAGTTAATGAATTAAAAATGGCTAGCCTACATGCATGTTTGGTTACATTAAGTCAAAGCATTATCTTGATCAATTTTAAGACTAAGTTAACTCACCTTTCACCTCTTTGAGACAAATGATATATGTTAACCCGATGAACTTGACCACCATTTTACCTAAAATTTATATGCCTCGACAAAAAAAAATCGATAACTTATGTTTAACTTACACTAAGTTATTATTGTCTTGTTACAGATTCCTTGAAGGTGGCTCAACAAAATGCAAGGCATCAAAAGTAACATCTGATCAGTACGGTTCAAGAAGAAACGAGTGTTGAATTCTGATCTTTGTTTTAAATCAAGATTACCTTATTTGGTAAGAACAGTTAATATATTATTTTGTAATCATATCCATGTGTGCATTAATGTCAATAGTGATAAGTCAACGGTAGTCTCTTGCTGGATCCCTTTTGGCTTAGCCAATCAAATACGAGATCACTGCAATGGTCAGAGCCGCTATCAATTTTTGCTGAAGCATCTGACAGTCGAGGCTTTCCTATAGTTTTATGTACCAACATGTATTTGGGAAAAATTAAATCATGTTTATTCCAGCTAGAGAAGATTTAATTTACCATTTTAATAAAATTGTAGGCTATTGCAAAGCTATCCTCTTAATGTTTCTTCAGGTAGTCACTCATCACATTCAAAAATATGTAGGCTGCCTATAGACTATAGAGGATCAAAGTAAATGTTTACCTAAATTTGTTAATGCCAACAACTTTTTTAGATTTATTTTTTATTTTATGATCTTAATCATAATTCAACCCATCACTAACAAATTTGTGTTATTTTTATGTTTAGACTCATGCATCTTCGGCTAAAGCGACAGACCCTGAGTTAGAGGCAGTTAATCAAAGACTGGCTCGGACAAGCCAAATCAAGAGGTCTGAGCCAAATACAAGGTAAGTCTTAGTAGTGGTAAGTGAGTAGGCTTAAAGCCTGGTTTACACGGGTAGAGTTGTGGGTAGAGTAGAGTTTCTAGTATAGTAACTCTACCCGTGTAAACACCCACTAGCGCCTAGTAGCTAGTATAGTAGATAGTAGGTGGTAGAGTAGAGTTACTAGCAACATGTGGCATAGTAGCTCTACTCTACTTCCCCCACCACTAGCAAAATTGTCACTCTCCTGCACACTATACTTGTGTAAATGAGATCCGCGGCAGTAGAGCAGAGTTTCTGGTAGAGTGACACTGTCTTGTAACTGGTTTATAACACTCATTTTGGGAATGGAGGTGGAACAAACAGTTCACAAACTATCATCAACACTCTACTATGTGTGAACAGTCGCTTGCTTAAAATCGGTAGAGTGGACAAGAAAGTAGCTCTACTATAAACTCTACACTACCAACAACTTTACCAGGCTAAAGCCTGGTTTACACGGGTAGAGTTGTGGGTAGAGTAAGAGTTTCTAGTATAGTAACTCTACCCGTGTAAACACCCACTAGCGCCTAGTAGCTAGTATAGTAGATAGTAGGTGGTAGAGTAGAGTTACTAGCAACATGTGGCATAGTAGCTCTACTCTACTTCCCCCACCACTAGCAAAATTGTCACTCTCCTGCACACTATACTTGTGTAAATGAGATCCGCGGCAGTAGAGTTTCTGGTAGAGTGACACTATCTTGTAACTGGTTTATAACACTTATTTTGGGAATGGAGGTGGAACAAACAGTTCACAAACTATCATCAACACTCTACTATGTGTGAACAGTCGCTTGCTTAAAATCGGTAGAGTGGACAAGAAAGTAGCTCTACTATAAACTCTACACTACCAACAACTCTACCCGTGTAAACCAGGCTTTAGTACAGTAGAACTTAGCTTATTCGAATTTCAGAGGAAAGAAAATATATTTCGAACTATGGGAAGTTTAAAATGTAAAGAGTTTGATTTATAGAGGTCAGAAAAATAAAATTTGAATTGTGGAGGTCCCAGTTTTAAGTGTGGAGTTTGAGAGAATGGAGACTAATGAACACATCTTGGGGGACGGATTGTCAGTTCATGTTTCAACAAAGATATTTTTTGTCTTACGGTAATGCAGTTCGAATTGTAGAGGTTGACTTCGAATTTTGGAAGTAGGCCTAACAGTTTTAATTATGGCAACAAAATTCAAATTGTAGAGGCTGTATTAAGCTTAAAACTACTTTGTACTATCGGTATATTATTTTTTTTAATTT